TAATTGGCATCCTTACATATTATGAATTTTATTTAATTTTCTGCCGATGCGTTTGATAATGCGAACACACTTTTTTAAAGCGGAAGTTACATTTTTAACATAGCAACCAGTGATTGCGGTAGTATTGAACAAAGACTGACTCATAATATCTCTCTCACATGTGCACAAATTAGTGCTTATAATAACTTTCAACCCATTTTGGAATACGTTTGTCGATTTTACAGATGAAAAAATGATTTTTGCCTGCATGGTGACGTGTACGGAGATCCGTTATGACAAATGAAAAAAAGCTCATTACATGTTTACTTTATTCTGATGAAACCGATTTGTATAGTTTTTGCAATAAATCGTAAACAATGATATAAGATGTCATTTCTGCAGGTAATTACAAATACATTATATGACGTTAGTTTCGGGAATGTTAAACAAAATTTTGTGAAATATTAATTTTTGTTTTATGACAACAAGTAAAGTTAGATTAAAAAAGAAAAATCTTTTTAAAAACTATATCAAAAATTATATGTATAAGCGATTTTTGTTGGGAATATTTGGCGTAATTTCTCAGAAGAAACATTGGTGCTTAATACATGTATTATGATTAAACCACGTAATGGCGAGACATAAATTAACTAAATGTTCATTTAGTTATGATATAGCTGCAGTTTCCAAAAACTGAAGTATGTTGAAAATTATTAATAAAAGACACCAGGGAGTATGACACAACTGCTTCATATATGGATATTTTGCTAGAGAAAGAGGTTGATGGCAAACTAATAATTAGACTTACATGGTACACGTGATAACTACTTTTTCTATCGCCAACTTTCCTTATTATGTAGCAATATACCATATTACCTGCATGTGGGATTAATGTCTTAAATTATTAATTAATTGATTCGATACACGTTACGAACAACAAGGAGTCTCGGTTTTAAGAGGGTCTTCCACCTATCCCCCCCCCCTTTTTTTTTTAAATCACAAATCCACCTATTCCCGTTTGGAAATAACAAAATGAGTTGAACGTTCATTTGTGTTTATAACAATTATGTTAATTACATCCCAACTTAGATATACCTGTGTATCTCTCTCACATGTGCACAAATTAGTGTTTGTAATAACTTTCAATTCATTTTGGAATAGGTTTGTCGAATAATAGAAGAAAAGGTGAGTTTTGCCTGCATGGTAACGGGTACGGAGCCCCGTTATGACAAACGAAAAAAAAAGCTCAGCACATGTACAATTTATTGGAACCGATTTATGTCGTCTAAATCGTAAGCAATATATATAATATGTCACTTTTCGAAGTAATCTTATGCCCTGTTCACACGGAGAGTTTAATTCGAATTAAACGTAAGTTACTGCGAATTAAATTTGATTCGCGTTCACACGGAGAATTTAATGCGAATTAGTTTAATTCGAATTAGTTTATTAGTTTGCCATCAACCTCTTTCTCTAGCAAAATATCCATATACGAAGCAGTTGTGTCATACTCCCTGGTGTCTTTTATTAATAATTTTCAACATACTTCAGTTTTTGGAAACTGCAGCTATATCATAACTAAATGAACATTTAATTAATTTATGTCTCGCCATTACGTGGTTTAATCATAATACATGTATTAAGCACCAATGTTTCTTCTGAGAAATTACGCCAAATATTCCCAACAAAAATCGCTTATACATATAATTTTTGATATAGTTTTTAAAAAGATTTTTCTTTTTTAATCTAACTTTACTTGTTGTCATAAAACAAAAATTAATATTTCACAAAATTTTGTTTAACATTCCCGAAACTAACGTCATATAATGTATTTGTAATTACCTGCAGAAATGACATCTTATATCATTGTTTACAATTTATTGCAAAAACTATACAAATCGGTTTCATCAGAATAAAGTAAACATGTAATGAGCTTTTTTTCGTTTGTAATAACGGATCTCCGTACACGTCACCATGCAGGCAAAAATCATCTTTTCATCTGTAAAATCGACAAACCTATTCCAAAATGGGTTGAAAGTTATTACAAGCACTAATTTGTGCACATGTGAGAGAGATATTAAGAGTCAGTCTTTGTTCAATACTACCGCAATCACTGGTTGCTATGTTAAAAATGTAACTTCCGCTTTAAAAAGTGTGTTCGCGTTATCAAACGCATCGGCAGAAAATTAAATAAAATTCATAATATGTAAGGATGCCAATTATTGTTCATTTTTATTCCCATCATAACTTGCGCTTTAAACAGCAAGTATGTTATTTAATGAAATCGAGGACAACTACGGCTGAAAATATAGCGGAATCTCACTATAATAGTGGTATACAACTATTATAGCGGAATTTACGTTTCCCCCCAACCTGATGAAAGTAAGCTTCTCTATCGTGAGCAGCTATCCCTTTTGTGTACAACTTATGTAAATTCTATCTTTAATGTCTGTATATACTGTTTTATATTGAGTAGAGTACATATGTACTCACCTGCCCACCAGTAGAAGTTCCCTCTGTGTTGCTTCTCTCCGGATTCTCCTCCAGATGTCCATGGTGAAGATTGTACTGGAGCTGTTAAATATGGACGTCAGCGAGCTCATAACAGCGGAGAACATCACCACCATTAACAAACCACGCAGACCTGAAATAGGTACATCTTCACCTTAAATAATTTCTATAGAACTTAAATGAGTGGACACTTCTTTATCCCAACTTCCAGGTCCACAAAGCACGATGTAGACTTCTTTGTTTTTATTTGACTCAAGTTAATCACAGCAAAGCCAATTACTAGTATCTACTTGCCGTAAGGCAGAAGCTCTAGCACCAGTTTGGGGTAGGCAATGTTGGAGCAGCCGGCTGAATTATCACACACCCTTTCACACACTGACGGCTCTGCACAAGCTACTTCATCTAAAATTAACGTAGAAAAAGAAAAAAATAACTCATTGTCCATATTGTATAATATTGAAAATAGGCTAGGAACCTGCGTCCATATATAGTGCTTTATCTGTAATATCTGTTTACCTGGATACAGAACCCTACTGATCATCCCTGGAAATACCAGTAAGAACATTGGTAAAAGCTTTATGTACCCTGTCATAATGGAGCCGCCCTTCGCATGGGATAGATTTTTGGCTGCCAGAGACCGCTGAACGATCATCTAGTAAAGAGACAGCGATACATGTATGTTTAATAGAAGAACCAATCTCTGTGAAGCAGTAATAAGAGTAGTACTTTAAATAGGTTAATTTCAAGTTCAGAAACGGGTAGGCCATTTCTGTTTCAGAGAAGATGATTGGGGAAAAACAAAGATTAAAATTTTAGTCAAGTTGTAATCACGCACCTGATCACAGCACCAATACCAAGACGCACCAAGAGTTGACATGACCAGAATTGCCGGCCAAGGGTAGTCACTATTCACTGGGTCCAGGAACAAATGGAAGGCATCTGCCTTTGGCAAACCGCAAGACGTATTCTCATTGCGAACGGAAGGGATGGCATTCATATACTTTGCCTGAAGGTTTGAAAACCCACCAACTTCTTCAAAACCTGAAAGATACCAAAATTTTATTCATATTTCAAGGGGGAAACGAATAAAGAAGGTATTAGAAAGTTTTAACAACATCTGTTTGCAATACACTTAGCCCCCCTATGGTAGCTCACAGCGAAGGTAAAAGTTTCTCAAAGTCAAACTCCGAGGTCAAGGTCAAGTCAAAAATGTTGGTATCCAAAGAAAGGTCTTGTCTCAAGTAATAAACCTGTGAAATATGAAAGCCCTAACACCAAACATTCAAACGGTATGGCTAAGATTAAAGTTTTTCAAAAGTAAATTAAACTCAAAGGTTAAGGTGAAAGGGTCAATACTGTTTGTATCCAAGGAAAGGTCTTGTCACAAGGAATACACATGTAAAATATGAAAGCCCCAGCCTGACAGTTCAAATGTTATGACCAAGGTTAAAGTTTTTCAAAAGTAGGTCAAACTCAACGGTCAAGGTTAATGGGTCAAAATTGTTGGTACTCAAGGAAAGGTCTTCTCAAAAGGAATACACTGTTAAATATGAAAGCCCTAGCACCATCCGTTCAAAAGTTATGAACAAAGTAAAGGTTTCTCAAAAGTAGTTCAAACTCAGAGGTCAAAGTCAAATGGTCAAAATTGTTGGTACCCAAGGGAAGGCCTTGTTACAAGGAATACACTTCTTTAATATGAAAGTCCTAGCTTCAACCATTCAAAACTTATGGCCAATGTTAACGTTTATTTTATAAGCGGGTCAAACTCCAACGTCAAGGTAAAAGGGTCAAAAATATTTGTACCCAAAGAAAAGTCTTATCACAAGAAATACACATGTAAAGTATGAAAGCCTTAGCACCAACCTTTCAAAAGTTATGCCCTAGGTTAAAGTTCGGTAAAATCGAAACTATGTCAAACTCCGGGGTTTGACACAGTTAGGTATCAAAATGTTTGTACCAACAAATATTTTGGAACCCAAAGAAAGGTCTTGTTACAAGGAATACACATGTGAAATATGAAGCCATAGCTCCAACCAATCAAACGTTATGAGTAAGGCTGAAGTTCTTGCGGACAGAGACATACAGATGGACAGACAGAACAAAAGCTATATGTCCCCAAATCTTCGATTATGGGGGCATAAAAATTCCCATTTTCTATGCTGTAAAACTAGAAGATGTCTATGTACTGTTAATATCTTAAAGTGGTTTGTTTTGATAAACATTTGAAAATTGTCCCCTGAAGGGCTATGGTTATTATAAAGAAACAATAACTGTTCCGATCATCATGACAGCAGCCTGGAACATTTAACAATAACTGCTCCAATTGTCGAAACTGTTGCAATCATCAGGACCGCAATCAAGAGCACTTACCGTAACCGGTATCAATAACTATATACCTCTTATGCGTTTTTATTAGCTCATTTGCATAGAAACGCCTATACCTAGCCTTAACTCACATGCGTATATCTACCATAAAACATTTTATGTTTTAAAATACTTGATGATTTTTTTTGAGATTTAATGTCAGACTGGTTTTAAGCTGCAGTTCATATTGACAAACAGACAAACCGACAAGATGATTTCGATCCCCCCCCCCCCGGGTATAATTGGTTTTCATTATATTATACAATATCAAATTAGTTTATTATACAATATCAAGTTAGTTTTAATTACTTTTCACCAAGTTCATTTTAAAAGTTAAAAGGCTAGCCAAATAGATTCATTTATTCCTTTAATCCAACGCTGATTCCTTTCCCAAATTCCTAGGAGATATAGATAACTGCTTGATCAGAAATGCTCTACAAGTATTAGCTTTCCTAAAAAGCTTGTCTGACTTGAGCAAATTTATTTTTACGCGAAGAATCAAGAAAAGTTAAATCCAGTCTGAGTAATGAAATGAATTCTTTTGCTAGAATCAAGAAAAGTTCAATTCAGTGGAATCAACATAAATTTAAAACTTGATTATGAATTTATTCTTTATACACTATATTACTTCTAATTTCTTATTCTATGGACGTAGGAACCGGCCGGGGGGGGGGGGGGTGCCCCTATAATTATGACGATTTATACATAACTATTTTATGCTTGTGTCCCCTAAATCATGTAAATATTTAACTGAAAATTTCTGAAATTTTTTCCAACGGGCCTGTTCATGGATACAAAGATATAACCAGTGCTTTTGAAAGAAAAAGCTATGTACAACACATAAAAATCTTAACATCAATTAGAGAACAATTTTGATAATAAATTTAAAAAAAATAAACGTGTTACAAAATGAGCTAACATCTTTGCATTTAGCAAAAGAATATTCAACATCTATCAATCACTTTGATATTTTTTTATCTATGTATAAAACAAACGTCTGTTATGAATATAAATATATCTGTAAATTTATAAAAATTCTAAAGGTAGAGAGACTCGGTATGCATTGAAAATAAACATCCATTAGTTAATCTGATAAGAAAATCGACAAGAGTTGACCTGACCAGCTCATTCCTTCTGTTTTGCTGGACATGAATGATGCACGGTATTCGGGAATGGTCAAATGTTAAGTAACCTGTAATGTATAATGTGATAATAATGACATTAGGTCATATGCTCTGGTTTGTTTGGATGATTAGCATGTTTCCTTTACTCCTCATTCCCTCCAATTGATAGTTAAGATAGTATGAAGTTTCCAAGATCAAGTTAACACAAGAATTCTACTGAACAACTTGACCAACATGCCTTGGCTAAATCTAGTACTGTCTGACGCCATGACGTCAGACAACCAGTTAGTTCCTCACACTAAACTCATTAATTTCTCTCTAATATGACATGTAATTTTCTGTTATCAAAAATCTCCTTGACCAGTGCTTGATGATTACACCCATGGGAGAGGTGGAATTTCTCTTATAACATTACATTTGTTATAGATTGCTGTAAAGTATATAATGAAAAAATATAAGTATTTTCTTGATTTAACATTTTTTTAATAAGGATACAGCAACATTCTTACATATTTGGGTATTGTGTAATTTGATAATATAGAGACACAGTTTTTAAAAAAAAAATTTCACTAAATTAAAGGTCACAGTGACCTTCAAATAGGTCGCGACACACCCAGGGATCGACATTAACGGTTGTCCGATTGCCCGGGACAAGTAAATTCTCAGTTCGGGCAAGTGAAATTGTCGACGTACTTGTCCGACCGGGCAAGTGAATTGTTCTCATACATTTTAATTTACATATTAATTTAGTTTACATTAATTAATAAATAAAACAATAAATGAACACTTGATTTCCGTCACGCACCTGACTGACAATGTTTTTGCATTTGAAATTCCCTGGTAGCGTTTCTGGATTATACCGTTCATTTAAAAATCGGGTTCGTTATTTTCTTTCGTAATAAATATGCTCTATGTTTAACAAAATTTTATTAACTTCTTATTAGGAAATTAGATTATTTATTTACGCACAGAATATATAAGTACAGTATAACACGATGTATTCTGATCAAGATAAGATGTATGTTTCGTAGCAAAATCTTCCTTAAGCGTTGCTTCACAGTTATCTCTGAAAATCACGAATCACAAAAGGATCCTACCGAAAATAATTCTTAAAAATATGAATTTTATTAAAAGGAAATGGAGGGTTAATGCTGCATGGCAGTACGTGTTAACAGGTTAAATTTTACGAGTACAGCGGTATACATTTATGTACAAATGCAACATCGAAATTTTTTCAGGTAGCTCAACTTGCCAAATTGACAGTTGTGTATTTGGTCACATTTTATCTTATCATAACGTCTACAGAAATTAACAATTTTCCTCTTAATTTCTTTCCTAATTTTGGGCAACCAAGTTTAGCATTCGGACAAGTCAAAGTCTAAGATCACTTGCCCGAAGGGCAAGTGGATTTGAAAGTTAATGTCTATCCCTGACACCTTCTACCTAAGATGCATAAATTGGCCAAGTTTGATGATTCTAAGTCTAATAGTTTTCTAGTTATGAGCCGGACAGGATTTTTCCATATTTGGCCATAGCATCTTAATTTTTTTTTTTTAAATGATATATTTATTTTCAATAACATACAACAAAATATTGAGGCAAAACTTCCGCAGAAGCCCTCTGTATATACTTCACCTGGGGTGCCAGGAGCTCCCTGGATCGGTATTTTTATTATAATATTTAATTTACAAAATGATATACATTAAAAAAAAAATACTTATAAGTATACATATCATTGCTGACATTTCATTTCTATACATATGCTTATATATCATTGTATAATATTATTTTTTGTAAACAAAATAAGTATCATAGATGAAATATCTATACTTAATTTATATACTTCTCAAAATACATACACAAAGAAAATCATATTTGGTCAGCTAACTTTTTTAAAAGATGGTAATTTAATTGAACACTTTTTGCATCCTTTGCTATTAAATAATACTGATATAATGATGATTTTAAAAAAGATAACATTGCATGTGCATTTACATTTTCATTTTGTAATCTATATTTCATTTTATACTTGTATATTTTGTAACCTACAATTGATATGACATTATTAAAAATTTTTGTTGTTTCGTTAAACTCATTAAAAAATCCTACAACAATATTTTTCCAGGATATATTTAATTTCAATATTTTTGATATTTTTTCCCATAATCTTTTTGAATCCGAACATTCTAAAATTAAATGTTCAATATATTCTACTTGTCCACAACTTGTACAATTTTTCCCCACCTCTTTATTCCATTTACTTACATTATAATTACAATTCAGCTGGTTATGTAAAAGTTTAAAATTGAATTCTGCTATCTGTTTATCAAATACATTTAATATCTTAGCTGTATAAATATTTTTCCATTGACCATTTGTTATATTGAATTCTTTTGACCACTTCGTTTCCATTATTGGCTTTTGCTTCTTTTTAGAAAGTAGAATTTTATAATAAAATCCTGATTTTTCAAATTCTGGGTTTCTACTTTTTCCTTGAAAATAAAAATAGGGTTTTTGTATATAAGTGTTTTTTACATTACAGTAATCTATATTTAGCTTTTTAATTGCTTTTTTCATTATTAGATATTCACATAAGTAATTACTTTTTGATTCAATGATCTCTTTTACATCCGTAATATCTTTCATACCTTCTATTGTAAACAGATCTTTTACGTATAGAACACCACTTCTTGCCCAGTTTTTTAGATATAGTGGTTTATTGTTGTGTTTAATGAAACTGTTTAACCATAAGTTTTCTGTAATTTTATTACGCGGTGATAACGATTTACATTCGTTAAAACTACAGAAAATATTCTTGTAAAATTTCGAGAATTTGTTTAAAACGTTGAAATCATTCGGATTTATAATATTACTACGTAACAGATATTCAAAGTTTATTCCATAACTTTTTAATGCGTTATCTAAAAAAATTCTAAGCGTAGAGTTTTCATTGTATAGCCTTTTGATCCATCCGGCTTTTACGCTTTTAAGTTTGCATTCGATATCTATTAAACCAAGACCACCCTCATTTATTGGCCTTATAAGTGCATTGCGTTTAATTCTCTCTCTCTTATTCCATAAAAAATTGTAAATAATTTTATTTATACTTTTAATGTATTCGATATCTGGATTTTCGAGAACTGTAAACACATATAATAATTTAGACACTATGAGTGAATTAATAACGGTACATTTTCCGAAAAAAGTTAAGCTTCTTGTTCTCCATGAATCTAATATTTTTTCAAATTCTTTAAGCTTATGCAACCAATTTTTCTCATTATTAGATATTTTGTCGTGTCCTAAGAAAATTCCGAGTGATTTAACAGGTTTATTTGTCATTTTAATTCCTTCTATATCCTCTCGTGTGTTTTTAAGGGGTCCCAAGAGAATACCCTCTGTTTTTTTCTAAATTTAACTTAGTACCAGACATTTTCCCAAAAGATTGTATAACTTTAATAGACGCTTTTAAGGATTCAGTATTTTTCATTGGCAAAGTGCAATCATCTGCATGTTGTAAACATTTTATTTCGTCTGACTGTCCAATTTTGAAACCTTGTATACTTTCAGAGGCATTTATTTTTAATACCATGATTTCAATAACAAAAAGAAAGAGCAATGCTGAGACGGGACATCCTTGCCTAATGCCTCTTGACATTGTACATTTTCTAGTTAACCAGTTATTATTTTTAACATGAAAATAAGGTTTTGTGTATAAAATTTTTATCCATCTTAGGAAATTTTCTCCAAAATTGAATTTTTTAAGAGTTTGAAACAAGAAGTTCCATTCAACTGAATCAAAAGCTTTTTGGAAATCGGCAAACAATAGTATTCCTTCTTCATTATTTTCTTCACAATAATCGTATATATCTAGTATTAACCTTGCATTTTCACCAATAAATCTTCCTTTGATATATCCAGTTTGATTTTTATTAATGAGTTTGTCCATAATCTTTGTAGTCTCTTTGCAAATACGAAGGCTATTATTTTATAGTCGCAATTTGTTAAACTAATAGGACGATAGTTGTCAAGATTTATTAAGCTCCCTTTTCTGTGTATGAGTGATAGAACAGAAGATCTCTGCGTAAATGATAATTCGCCTACCTCGAAAGATCTCAATAGGCTTTCATATAAATAAACTTTTACATATTTCCAAAACATCTTATAAAATTCCACGGGAATTCCGTCTAATCCAGGTGATTTATTCAATTTCATATTATATACAGCTTCTGCACATTCTTCAATTTCAGGAATTTTATCGTAATTTTCTCTATCTTCATCAGATAGGTAATTAGTAAGTTCCGTTTCTTGCAAATATTGATTAATATCGTTTACTGATATATTGCTAGACGAATATAGTTTTTCATAGTAGGAACTTAGTGCGTTTAAAATGTCTTGAGTTTCATAAACACAGTTATCTCCCACTGATAATTTATTTATGACATTATGTGATTGGTGTTTATTTTCTAATCTTAAGAAATAAGAGGTGTTTTTTTCTCCATCGTCAATCCAACGAGCTTTGGCTCTCACTCTGGCCCCTTTTGATTTATATGCATATAACTTATCTAGTTCTTTTTCCAAATTTCTTTTATATATCATATTTATATCATCAGACTTAGACATTTCAATTTCTTCAATTTCTTTTTCTATTCGTTTAATTCTAATTTTTACGCTTTTGTTTTTCGATTTAGAATATTCAATGCATAGCTCTTTTATTTGATATTTGATCATTTCCCATCTTATTTGTGGATCTGTTTGGTTGCTAATATTTTCAGGTAGATCTTCAAAGAAGTTTTTGATAATGTTACAAAATTCCACGTCTTGTAAAATCGACGTATTCATTTTCCAGTAACCATTACCTCTATTATTTTTCGATATAGTACAGTAAAAAATAAATGATCTATGGTCGCTCATTCTAGTATTTGAAACATCTGGAGGTTTTCTAAGTAATATCTTTTCAACCGGATAACATAAATTCTCCGAAGTGAGTATGTAATCAATTCTACTTTTAGGTTTATTACTTGAATCGCACCATGTATTTCCTTCTTTTTCAGGATTAATTTTTTCCCATATATCTATCAGCCGAAATTTAAACTTTAAATCATTAATTATTTTAGAACATTTGTTCTTTGCATTGTACAAGGAATTAAAATCCCCAGCTAAAATTATGTTTTGTTCATTTAAACAATGTTGAGAAACCCATGATGCAAGTTTTTTGAAAAATTTACATCTCTCATTTTCTGAATTTGGTGCATATATATTGACTAGAGTTATAACATTTTTTTCATACTCAATATTAATTAATATTCTCCTTCCATCGTCTGATTTGTGTACATTATGTACAATGATAGGTAAACTTTCATGAAATAAAACAGATACCCCTCTACTATGAGATGAATTAGAAAAACAATGGTAGCTTGAACCATGCCATCTAGCATTGTAAATATTTTCTTTGTCAGTTACATAATGAGTTTCTTGTAGAAAAACAATTTTGCAATTAATATCATTAAGCCAATCATATAAAGTTTGCCTCTTAGAATAGTCATTAAGCCCGCGAGCATTTAACGACAAAAACTTTAAAACTGACATATACAGAAAAGTTCAGTTTGTTCATTCATTTTAACTTATTAATTACCGTTTCTCTGTTGATCTTTTTTTTCCTGCTTTTTCTAAGATTTTCGGCGGCGCAAGCAATTATCTCCCTCATCATGTTTTTTCCTGGCCAGGCCGTTGGTGATGTTTTGATTGTTTCTTCATATGACAGGGCAGTTCCCCAGTAAGGATCATAAACTGGGTGTCCAAAGAACACAGACGGCTTAAAAGAATTCAGTGTGTCTCTCATTTTATCGCATTGTTTTACCTTTTCTGCGATGATTTGTTCCATGACTCCCTTTTCCGTTTCTTTCCATTGATCTGATTTTTGGACAAGATTGCCGATGCGTTTTGCTTCTAGGGCAGTCTTGGCATTACGAATGCGCTCCGCTGCAACAACATCGCCGGATCTTAGCGCCTTTGCTGTTTGGAAGGCTTGCTCCGCCGACTTAAAAGTCTCTCCGAAAATCTTTAACTCACATGGGAAGAAAATTGACAAGACATTGTTTTCTCCCTGAAAAGTTTCCAAATTTTTTGGTTTTACGGGAATGTAGAAATCACATGATTCACACCCTGGTTTATGTCCAGATTTTTTGCATACTGCGCAACATGGCTCGTTTTCGCAATGAAACCTATTGTGCCCACTTTGCCAACAATTAGTACACGTGAGTGCTGGTTTGTCTATGTGTTGGTCTTGGTGAAACAGCTTACATTTAAGCCCGGTACAATACACGTTTCTGGGTAAGCATGCATTAGGCGGCAAGGGTTCTATGTACAGAAAACGGTTTCCGTTTAAAACACTAGTCATTTTCTTTGTTTCCGGATTTCTAATTTTTTCATAATATATTTCAGTTTTCGGTGTGACTTTTAATTTTGAAAGCATTTCGAACACGGCACTATCATCCACTGATAGAGGGACGCCGCAAATTGTGATTTTTAAAGACTTATCATCGGGAGCTTCAAGGCCTGTTGAATAGGGATTAGAGTCATACACCCTGACATGTTGGCCCCAAATATCTAAGCCCTGCAGAAGAAGGCCATCTCTTCCCTCTTTTGTGTTCAGATAGATCCGCCACAAATCCCTATCCAATTGAATACACCGGATGGTATCACCGACAACCTTTGTAGCACACTGCACAAGTACAAAAGTACACAAGTACAAGTGCATAGCATCTTAATTAAAGGTCAGAATGACCTACTTTTAATGCACGACACACCTTCTACCCAAGACGTATCAGCTGACAAAGTTTGATAATTCTAGGCCTAATAGTATTAAAGTCATGAGCCGGACACGAAAAAGCTAACAGACGGACGGACGGACGGACATGAAGCTATAACATAATACGTCCCGTCTTAAGACGGGCCTATAAAAACTACTGCAATCATCAGGACCGCAATAATTAACACTTACCGTAACCTGTAATAATAAGTGCTGCAATCATCAGGACCGCAATAATGAACACTTACCGTAACCGGTAACAATAACTGCTCCAATCATCAGGACCGCAATAATTAACATTAACCGTAACAATAACTGCTTCAATCATCAGGACCGCAGTCATTAACACTTACCGTAACCGGTAACAATAACTGCTCCAATCATCATGACGGCAGTCTGGAAGGTGTCTGTGTACATCACAGCTGTAAGTCCCCCTAAAATTACAAATCATGTAATTATATGATAAAGTGGGATTGAAAATATCAGCATCAGAAATTCGACAACAGAATACATCTTGTTTCAACCATCAATCCCTCAGTTTACATGCAGTGATATATGGAATTGAGAAAAATGTCGAACATGTTGAAAGTTTGAGCCAGATAAAGATGCAGGACATATTCGGTTGAGTTAGATTGTCAAATCAAGATTAACATACAATAAAGGACTAAAATAGTAGAATTGCTTCAAGTTTTACCTAACATGGTAAAAACACCAGTGATTAGTAGAAGGGCAATGATGGAGGCGTACATGTTCCACCCCAAAGCCATCTGTATGAACATAGATCCAGAAAAAATGCTTACCTGTCAAAAATAAGTTTAAAAAAAGGAACTCATAAAAAAATGAAATAAAAATACCTAAACGATCAAATGTTTTTGAAACAAGTGTGTTTTTGTGGAGAGGGCTTATATAGGCTATGTCTGCTGTCCAATCCATTTATGTTTCAGTACATAATAAAATATGTTCAAAGCAAATCAAGTGTTTTTGTTTCTTTGTCATTGCTGCCAACTTCACAATAAGCACCTGGCCATATTTTTCCATGCTATTTCGAAGTTCTAGTTTTTTTTCTGTAAAATATCTTGCTTAAAATCATCCTATAAAGGATATACATTCCTGAAAACCACTGCAGAGACTTGAAAAGTTTGAGGAAGGCATTTTTAAACAATGGAATTTTGGCCCACCCCTTCTTCACAGCAGTCCTACCTCCCAGACTGCTAAAGTTACTTTTGCCTGGTGAAAAGATGACTATAACGGAATGATTGTGCATCAAAAACACAATAGAAGAGATTGTCATTCCTTACTGTAATTATATAAGTTTCTACAGGCTCTCAAAATACTGTACTCAAATTTAAGGAAAAATGAACATACAAAGAGTTTGGCTGGGTAAAAAATTGACAGGTTTGCACATATTCTCTAAAACCACTGACCAAAACTGCATATTTTCTAAAACCACCGACTTGAACTGCATATGGAGTGAGATGAGACTGAGTTTGAGAATGATTTTAAAGGGATATACAAATCGCAATGAACTGACCACAAGTTTGGAGAGAATGTACAGGACAAGCGCCAAAGAGCTGAGATAAACTCTGATCCGCCCCCGTCCATGTCTTCGATGGAGGTATTCAGGTAAAGTGAAAACCTGACAAATACAAACAGTTGTAATAATATTACTAATATATATATATATATATATATATATATATATATATATATATATATATATATATATATATATATATATATATATATATATGCCAATTAATCACTTTTTAAAATATAGATATTTTTTTTAAAATAAACATTGAGATAATACATGTACTTACCCCAGCTGAAATGTAAACGGGAAGGAATACCCATGCACAGGCCAAAATCTCGAATATAACCTTTAAAACAAAATTAATAAATTTACTTTTCTGAGTTTTAATTTGGATTTATTATATTGTTTTGAAAGGACTTACAAACCACTCGTAGAAGACGAGGACGATTCCTGACGAGGCACCGGCCCCTGCCAGACCCACGAAATGTTCACTGCCGATATTACTGGAGAAAAGGGAGGCTCCAACCTACAGTTAGAAATCACACCAAAATACAATATATATATATCAATGTAATTTATAAAGATGAATGATTATCATGTTTATTTTGGCTTAATGGGGAGTTTTAGTTCTAAAGTTAAAAAAAAATTAAAAAGATCTATAATTAATCCTTTCATATTGGATACAAGTTATTTTCCAGACGCAAAATGTCAGAAACTAAAGTACAAAGCCTTGCATTAATTATTTCACGTCATTTACTCAATGTGTCCTTGAACTAGATAAAGATTTAAAAGAAAACACCATCTTACTGCGAACCAGGGCATGGAACGCCCTGCTAGGAAATAGCTGTTTACATTCCCTCTGTTTGGTCTGCACAAAGTCTACATGTTAAGATACAAATGCATCACAGTATATAAACACACACATTTCTTTATGCATATCAATTAAAACATTTTTGTCCCATTCAACTTTATAAACACTTACCCAAATTCCAATTCCAAGAATTAAACAGAAGTAAATGACGACCACGAGTATATCTCCCCAGTGATCCAAACCTTTCGTCGACATTTTGAGGATCACTCTGACCGTTTTCTGGTGCTGAATCCCTCGGTCCTTTGGATTAAGGGTTTTATCGCAGCGTGAGCGATAAGCCGGATCAAATTACTTCAAGAGGTTGCATGCATTAGCATACCGAGTATATGTTATCTGCTTAATTTTACCTCCGCGGTCACTTCATTTTTGTCTAGTTAAGACAAAATATATAAATAATAGTAAAATAATCCACACTTACAGTATTTTTAGGTTCAATTTGTTATCGCGTCTGTGTGGGACAATGCAAATGCATATTAATCTTAGTTCATTTTTTTTTAAACAGTTCATCTTCTTGATGTATTACTGAGCGCAATCAAAGACTGTTTTGCATTCCGTTACTTTGGCCATGTGGTGACTATGAATTTGTTCGTTTGTCAGTCCGTTTACATAGGCGTCGGAAGCATATTGAAACTAGGGGGGGGGGGGGTTAAACCTACAAAAAAAGTTTGGGGGCTAAGGCCCAATTTTCAATGCCTATATTATATCTATCTTTGCAAAAAGCCCCCCCCCCCCTTGGTTCCGACGCCTATGGTTTACTAAGTCCGATAACCATATCAAAGACTATAGGGCCTGCAATAGATGTTTTTAAAAAAATCCAAAAAGTGGATCCAAGATTTTGACACTTTCAGGGGGGTATTAATTACTTGCACTCGTAAAGTCGTTTTAGAAAGTGAGTCAAGGAATGCATATATGATAGTCTGGAAGCATATAAGTGCCAGGTTGACACTTTTTATTTTATTTTCCCCACTTTTACTTGTATATTTTACACATTTACATGTATTTGTAAATTTTACACATTTATTTGTAAATTTTACACATTTATTTGTAAATTTTACACATTTATCTGTAAAATTTACACTTTAATCTGTAAAATTTACACATTAATCTTTAAATTTTACACTTTAATCCGTCAATTTTACACATTAATGTGTAAATTTTACATATTAATCTGAAAATTTTACATATTAACTGAAAAAAAAAATACTGTAATCTGTAATAATCGAACGGTCATATCATGGTATTATACCTATGATATATAAAAATTAGAATAAACCGAAATGTTAACAAGTGGTTGCTTAAAAGTTTATACATGTATGTATTATTAGTAAGGCTTGGGATTTTTTCCATGGGCCTCGTAATTTTCCCTAGCAAATTGTCGGGAATCTACTTTCAATCCAAAGTATTATCCTTTCTGACATATTTCATTTTGTCAAATAAAATCTGCAACATGACTATTTAAAAAAGTCATGTTGCAGATTTTATTTGACAAAATGAAATATGTCAGAAAGGACAGTATGTTTCTTTTATACTATAGTAAAGAGCGATGAACAGTAAAAGAATATATATCTCAAATATTTTTGCCATCGTATTTCTAGTTAATATTGATATTGCAAGTTTATTGGTCTATTATAGTATAATCATGATGTAAAATATAACAGTGAATATTACAGCAATTTCAGAACGTAATGCTGAAGAAACATAATTGATTTGCACTTTACATCAATTGAATTCTGGGGGGGGGGGGGGTTGGGTTCCACCCCTGTTCTAAAAAAAATTCAACACAAGAATTTTTTGACAAGCCAAAAATGTAAACTACTCCTTTCCAAATGTTAAAAGGGGGGGAGGGGTGTTGAGCCGCTTTCCTTCACATCTTAAGCTTCATATGTATGACTCTTGGATCCACGGTCAATTTTTAGTTGCTTTACTATGTACATTAAGTAACTCCGCAAATTCCGAAGCGGTGTGGGGTGAGGGGGTGGTTCTGGACCCCCGACTCCGCGCATGTATATCGGTCATACTAGATTTAGAGAATAACTATCTTCTAATCTGGCATTTGCAACCGTTAATGGTGATTTAACGGTTGCAACCTGAGTTTTCGGCGACGCGTAAGCGCAGCCTGTAAAACGGATGTTTGCGATTGTTAAATCAGCATTAACGGTCGCAAATACCAAATTAAAAGATAGTTGTTCCCATTCTAATGCAATATAAGCATTTTGTTTGATGTTCATGTCTTATTTTGTTGAGTTTTGTTATAAAAAATACGTTATGGAGCATTGTGTTTTCCGTCGCTCTATAATGGCGTTAGTCACGTCACAATGAAAAGCTTTCGTTCTCGTTAATGCTCGTTTTACTGCCTCAGACATCAGTGTATTAGCATATCATTCATGGTCTTATTGGTTTTAATTGTCACTTACTTGTAAATATAAGGTAATAAAAAATATAAATTTATATGCTACTTTTCATGCCACAGCACATGGTTCCAAGAACAGACTGTTCTGGTGTAAAATGCTAAGAAACTATTGATTATTAGACAGCATCAATTTTACAAAAAATGCAGTAAAATTGAGACGAAATGAGAAATCAAATTAAAAATCAGTATGTATTAAATTCTTTTGACTTTCAGCTTTAAAATGATTGCAAAGGATGACTGCACTTAAATGATTTTTATTAATTGGACATTCTTGCTGTCCTCGAATTACCTGAGGACTCACCTGCCATTGTTTGAGGTCACCTGCATTCATTAAACATGGACGACTGTGGCTGTCTGTTTTTGATTTCGACAAAATTGGAATAGTGCATGGTGCAATATCGTACTATTAGACGAAGAAAGGAAAAATGGTATGTAGGATTTATAGGCACATATATTCTCTCCCCTTTATATTTTTGTACCGTATTTTTATAATATTCAAATCATTGTAACGTACATTTCTGTGTCAAACAGTCAATGCTTGTACCTTTTATTGAACTGAAATCTCAACTTTTAAATTAATCCAGTCTTGTGATTTACTTTGATTTATAAGTCATTTAAAAGGATGGTTCAGATAAATAAATTATTGTAAATAAATAAGTAAAAATATTCCTCAAAATCGGGAAATGATTGGTGGAAATTTGAAAGTTATTTCTCTTAGGCTGACATGCCTCAAACGCACATACGGAATCATAAGGAAATTGGCAAAAGCAATATTATACTAATTAGGAAAGGGAAGAAAGTGAATATGTAAGTGTATTAACTTTCACAATTGGGGGGTCTTTTAATTATCTTATTCTGGCATTTTTATAAATTGTACATTTACAAGTGAATGTAGGTCTTTGGCCGTTTGGCCTAAATGACATGTCTGTGTAGTTAGGCATAATCCCTCCGGCAATCAATATTGTATATAAAGTTGTAAACGTACGTGCGCTATCCAACAATTTCATGGACACATGTTGTTTTTAGCTTTACATACATGACACTGCCAAGTGTGTGCGATATTTTTAAAATAAAAATCAGAGCAATACACGTAGCTATTTGGATTTGGATTTTTACAACAATATATGGTATACAATACCGGGTATGTATTTCCAAGACCATTCAGTATGAGAAAAACGTCCTTGTCTATATACGAACCCTCGTATTAGACCTCTTACTACAATACAATTCAACCCGAAATGTTTTGATGGTTTAATGCAAATTATGCCTATTTGGTAAAAGGAAATAATGTGTCCTTTTTCTGGTAACATCGGGTTTTTGGGAGTAGTGGCAGATCTGCAACTGTTTTGCTACTCGAGAAATAAAAACAGAAAGCGTCATGTTTATCAACAATTACCGTATGAATTATCAGTAGGTCTTATATCTATAATTAGCTAGGTAATATATTCCCTGAGGCTCACCATAGAGGAATAATATATTCGTCATGACGAATAATGAAAAAATAACCATATAAATATGTATTCAGGTAAATTTTATAATTTATATCAGTGTATTCAAAAATAGACTGTAAAAAGCAGATTTATTGAAGATTAAAGTAAAAAGAGAAAGAATTTGCATTACTTTAATCCTTTTAATATAGAATTTTTTGTATGATTTTCTATTTCCTTATTCAATTTAATACACAGTTTGTACAAAAAAGTTACCAAGTTTGTGTTCAATCTTTCAGCAATGAATACAAAGTAATCTTAAATTCGACCTTGCACTGAGTAGAAAAATTACACATTCAAAACTAATATATATGTAAGACTCCAAAGTCCGATGGTGACGCCAAAGTCCGATGGTCTCGCCAAACCCCGATGGTTTGTTGTCGGTACGGACGCCGAAGTCCGATGGTGCGGAGAAACAATTAGGGTTGGGACGATACAACTTTTTCTATATCGATACGTATCACGATATTTGAGCCAAGATACGATATGTATCACGATATGTTGAATTGGTTATAAAATGTTTTGTTTGTATTGAAATGAACAAAACATTTCTTCGCAAATAAGAATAATTTATTCATAGAAGTTGTATACCAGTTGTAAAACAAAATAATTTTACACAAGTGGTGTTTTATTATGTATTTCCTTTATATTCATATTTAGCATATTTATTTTATATATTTAACCCAAAAATGTTAAGTAGACAAAGTAAAACATGAGCGAGAATTTTTTGTGTGTGATATTTTGATATTTCTTCATACGTATCGATATGCGTATCCTCACAATGAATCGATATCTCGATATATCGTCCCAACCCTAGAAACAATCAACGTTTATGACGTCACAATTAATTCGTCATCACATACAATTTATTTATTTTGTTTGTTGTTTGCACATTCCAGAGGTATTAGTCCATGGCCGTAGGAACCGGGGGGGGGGGGCACGGGGGGCCGTGCCCCCCCCCCCCCAATAATTTTGCCGACATATAGAGTACTATAGAAAAAATAGATACTATATGCTTGTGCCCCCTCAATAAAAATGCCTGATGACCTTTTTTTTTTTTTGCTTGTCAAGGAATTTTTGGTAGCTGTTAGAGCCCCCTCAACTGAAAATGTATGGCTGTGCCCCCCCCCCCCCCCAAAAAAAAAAAAAAAACTGAAATTGCTTCCTACGGGCCTGATTAGTATTAGTCATCACACATCACTCGACTGATTAGGGTTAACTTAGTCCTTGTGCACTATTGGACTGATTATGGGACAGCTTCGCACCAACCCGAGAGATTTAGGGTTAGTCCTCGCACACTAGTCGAGTGATTAGGGTTAGTCTCGCACCCACCCAAGATATCTAGGTTATAGCTGTTACACACTTTTCGATCGATTAGGGTTAGTTTCGCACCTATCCGAGAGATTAGGGTTAGTTTTCGCATAATGATATTTATTCTTATTTAAGGTAGGTCGCGGGTTTACTGCATAAAAATTCTTACTAGAAAACATATCCTGAAAATTTGATATAATGTTCCTAAGAATTTGCGGCATATTATCTGAAATTTTTATTAGATTTGCCTACGTGGTTTTAATGCTATATTACTGTAAACGTGGTATAGTTTTCGGTACTATTTTTACGCTTTACTATAGAAATATATAGGAAAATGACGTTTTCAAAACAATTTTACCAAAAGAGTTTCTTTAGAAAAGGTCGGATAACTTTTTAAAGACGTAGACGAATTACTCAGAAATTTCAAAATATCAAGATGAGGTAAAATTAAAACTATTGAGGTAAAAAAATTAATATGTCTTCTCGCTATTTTTTTGCTAAATATTTTTAAGGTTTGCTTTTAAATTGGCAAAATATTGCGTTTATGGCGTTAATTTTGACTAAAACGTCATATATTGAACGTAATCGCGTTTACATATTTATAAGTATCTTTATATTTGGAATATACAAGATCTAAAAGGTGACATAGATGCACACTGTAATTTTATTCAGCATTTCACTTATTGCGGAATCATGTTAGGAAGAACAGCCACTTATCTACTCTAGTATTATGAAATTCATATTCTGCCCACGAAGTCAGAATGAACGGTATATTCACAGGCACTTGACGTTTTAAACCTTTCTCTTTATTGATAAAAAATACTTACATACTATAATAGTACGGAAGTATTTTTTATCAATAAAGAGAAAGGTTTAAAACGTCAAGTGCCTGTGGGTATATTGATATAAACATTCCTCGTGCATTAGAATTAATATGCAGCGACAACACTGCGATTGATAATAAATTAATACAATTAATGTTAGGATGTCCAAGTTCATTATTAAGATTTTAAGTATAATACGTGAATTTTATCACTTCATTCGAAATCGGTAAAGAAAGAAAAAAAACACCCCACTACTGAGGAGGGGGGGGGGGGGGTTACCGGCAATGTTCTTTTTAAATCAATCGCAATTCAGTATATAGTCCGAACTCACGAACATTTGTTCTGTCTTGTTTTGTTTTTTTTCTTTATCAATTTTTCATCGGCAATTGCAAAATGTTAAAAACTTGCATTCAGCTTCTACACATACAGCTTGATTTTGTTATAGAAAAAATTGTACTTGATACTTGTATTTCGTAATACATGTAGTAAATTAATATCTGTTTAGAGTGTCATAAAGTTCCGATATGCCGAGTGTTTGTATAAATTTATTTTAACATGTTTAATGCATTTCACTATGATAAATCAATTCCTTGCTAGCCTGCATATAGAGAACGACTTTATCAAATTTATAATAATTTTTTTAAAAAAAGTGGAAAATGCATGTAATTAAATTTCATCCGTTTTAGTGTTGAGGGTTGATTTTATCCTGAAAAAAAAACAAATTTGTTTTTTTTTCGGCTGTGATGAGCAAACATGGTACATTACGCACCTTCCCTTCGTTGCAAATTACGTGCATACATACAGCCTTTCAATTTTTCGGCTTAGCAATTTACGGTAACTTTCATTTTGCATGCCATATCTTTAATTTAACACTGACTCATTTTGATTGACCTTTAGCAGTTTAGTATCATTTACAATATAAATTATTCCTTGAATTTTGCATCGCATTTATTATGTTTTATTAGTTTGTTCTTATACATTACACATATAATCAGAGCAGAATTCAAACTTATAATACTCTAGTTTCATACATTTACGACAATACAATTACGGAAAATAACATTTACTTTCTACGCTTCGTACGGACTAGATTCTATTGCTAAAGTAATTTTCTGAGAGCGGGAAGCAATGCAACGTAGCCTTTGTGACATAACTGACGTCATAATCAAATGTGCACAAAACAACCGCTCGAATCGTCGAAATTGTGTCCTTACATCATGAGTCTAGAGCAAACGTTCTAACCACTATGAACACGCGACTATGAAAACGACATCCTATGAGCTTTATCCAGTGTATAAAGCAGAAAACACGTGATAAAAGTAATACTGATATTATATGGATGTACTCACATTTGTGTCAGCTGAGCTGAGAGCTGAGAAATCAAGATGGATAATAAGAAATTGGTTAGGACGGCGAAATGGGAATTTCGCTGAAGAGAATTTATTTGATAAAATACTTTGTTTCATAATGTTCTACTTGTACAGGTTCCCGTAGTGGTTGAGATAGAGAAAACTCGGGAGGACCATGCCGGATTGCCTTACTGCCTTACGTGTCTCGCATGCTGGGTTGGATGTTGCTGTTTATGGCCCTTATCATTATTTTCTCTCATCTTCGCATGCCTTGTAAGTATGAATTATATTGTGACAAATGTAGTGACAGCGATATTATAATCACGATGTTCTAACTTTTAACTACACGTATATCACTTATTTTGTAAATTGTGTTTTGATATGACCCCCAATTGCTGTAAGACGATGTGCATTGCCAGATAGATCTACAAGTTATTTTCTTTGCTGTTTAAGACTTTAATGTTGTTATGATGTTGAACTAATTGTTATCTATAGTTTCCTATATTGTTTACATAATCACATAATTAAAACAGTGTTTATTTAGCTATTATTCGGTAAATTGTTACCTGGTATGTCTTCGCCGCGTGGTTGTTATTCCGGAAATGCGATTTTTGTTAAGATGTGAAAAGTTGTAAAGCTATTTATTTAATTAATTGAATGTCAATATCTTTAATTATCATGAAAGTTATTTTGTTTATAAAGTAGTAATAATATTTTACTTGTTTCTTTTTTCTGGTGAAACATGTGCACACTTTTTCGTTGCCGTGGGAATTACATCTTCGCTAGCCAAGGGTTTCTGATACGCTACTCTCCTCATAAGCCCTTGGCATACGGTGTTAAAAAAAGTTGGGATTTTTTTCTCAAGTTGTGATTGGAGTTGGTCGACATCGTTTGACCAATCAGCAATTGTTTTTTGTAAATGACGATATTTGCGTTCTGGATATATCTTGACTGTTAATATCGGGAATGAAAAATGCAAGTAAACAACGATCCGTAAGATAACATGCCATTCTATGAACAGTTATATGGTGTCATCCAATCCTAATCTACGTGCAAAATATGTGATTAAGAATCTATACTGAAGGTGTAGATTTGCATTTTAACATGTTTAAATAACAAATTAACATAATTCATTACCTTCTTGTTAATTATTCTTTAAAAACATTATTTTTTTAAATACGCTTTTTATTTCTGTCGATGACGCAATCTGTGCGTACCTGGTAAGAATCGCAATCCCGTCTTTTGTCAGCACCGTATGCTAAGGGTTTATGAGGAGAGTAACGTATCAGAAACCCTTGGCTGGCGAAGATGTGGGAATTAGGGTATCGCGTATCGCCTGTGATTGGTTGATGATCAGGTGCTAGATGTAGTCTTGTCCCATGATCCCCACCACTTCGTTATTAACGAAGTTCAGGGGATCATGGGACATGTTTCTGATCGGTTAACATATTTTACGTCATTTTCGTAGTATTTAATGACGTATCTATAGTAAAAACGCATAGTTGCAGTGATTGTACAGTAGGCTACACCACTGTATCAAGGTGTGTGTTTAATTTAGCGCGAGCGTTAATTTCATTACAACGTGTATTGGTAACGATCCTCTAGTGAAACTAATGTCCAAATAACTGTATCTCACTTCCATTCTCAATGACCGTGTAGTGTAGGGCAGCGCCGCAAGAATTCCATCGGCATCGAAAGCAAGTTTTTAGCCTAGATAGCCGAGCGGTCTAGCGCGTTGTTCCTGTACTGCTAGGAGACAGATTCCGTAGGTCGAGAGTTCAACCCCGGGCTGGGGCGGAAGTGGGTATCCTTATAGTAGTGAATTTCTTTGTACTTATATATATATATATATATATATATATATATATATATATATATATATATATATATATATATATATATATTGAAAGCACTAAAAAAACCAACAACACTGTATATCCTAAGTAACGGATCTACTAAGTAGATACAAGGTCATGGATGGAAATGTATATAAAGCACTAAAAATGACCAACGACACGAACAATTAATTAAAATTGTCAAATTTTTGGGACGCCCCGTCCCTTCCTCAGGACAAAGAAAAAAAGTTAAGAAGTCATAAAATCAAAGGAAACAGAAAAACAAAAAACAAATAGCACTACTACTAAACTACCAATCACTATGTATTTACAATGTTACATGTTTAATTTGAAGTTTATAACCAGCTGTAAGGGACCAGGCAAAATTTATCACAGTGATGGGACCGGTACAAACAGGCATGGGACAATGAGTTTTTTCGTTGAAGAAAACCATGGGACAAAAACATTTATATATAATGCTAACACATTTATTATATTTAAACATATTTTATCTTTTAAAAAAATAAATTCTTCAAAAAGTCATTATATCTTTTAAAGTCAAACAAAGGATACAAAGTGCAATATAAATCTTCAAATTAATACTGCATGCAAAAATAACAAAGTATCAAACAATGTTAATAAGAGTTATGAACATGGCATTGAACAAACGAATTATTTCAATAAATCATTCAAAATATACTGCTAACAAATTCTAGAGTAACATCTCTAAAACAGCCAAAATCAATCATGTATTTTACACGAATGATCTCTGACAAGTTTCATCCATTCAGACACATTTCATAGAACGATTATAGGCATTTATGCCTGCTGTTCAATCTAGTTCATTTATAATGAAAAAAAATATATTTTAAACTAAAACTTTTTTTGAAATATCTGTAATCTGAAAGACTCCTTCAGTTAATATATAAAAGTAATTGTTAGCATTGTACTCTTTTTTCTTTTCTTTTTTTTTTTTTTTTTTTTTTTTTTTTTTGGCTTTTTTGTTTTTGTTTTTTGTTGTTGTTGTTTTTTTTTTTTTTGTTTTGAATTTTGTTTTTTTTTTGTTTTGTTTTTTTTTGTTTGTTTTTTTTTTGCAATAATGTAACATTAAAAGTTTAAATCTAAAGATTAGATAAGAGATAGTTATAGATAAGTTTAAACTTTAGATTCAAACTTTTAATGTAATAATAATCTCACATCAAGATTTAACCATGGGACAGTAACTTTTTTATAAGTCTAAAGGCATGGGAGAAATTTTTTTTTAATACGAAAGCCATGGGACATGTAATTTTTTTCTATGAGGATTTTTTTTTGTACCAGTCCCATCATGGTGATAATTTTTGCCTAGTCCCTAAAGAAAGAAATCCGGACCACTATGAAATACGTCCGGTCTGTCGGGTGTACTCTGGTGAGGTGCGATTTACATAATTGAACGAATTGATTATCGCTAGTTAATAACGACCAAGTAGTAAATCGCTAGATTAAATTTAGTGAAGAAACTATTTTTATAGTTATGATGAACAAGGGTGCCTCTTCCATAATTGTGAGTTTCATGTCTCCTGGGTCAGGGGTTCTGGTGTTAGGGTGGGGCTCTATTGATTATATAGTGAAAATACACAAATTCTTTAATAATCTTCTTCTCTGGTCTTGGGTTTTACCTAAATAAACCATGTGCATGGTTGTGATAATCAGGGTGCCTCTTCTAAAATTATGAAATTCATGGCCCAGGGTCGGGGGTTCTGATTAAAGGGGAGGGATGGTAGTGGCTCTATTGATTACATAGTGAAAAAGCATAATTTCTTTGAAAATATTCTTTTCTGTCCCTGGTTATAAAGTAAAGAAACTAAGTGTAAAGTTATGATGAGCAAGGGTGCCTCTTCCAGAATTGTGAGTTTCATGGCCTCTGGGTCAGGGGTTCTGGTGTAAGGGTGGGACACTATTGATTATATAGTAAAATGCATTAATTGTATTAATTCTATTAAATAATCCTGTCTGCCCTTTGTATTGAGCAGATAAAAAAGTGCATAGTTACATAGTTATGATGAACAAGGGTGCTTCTTACAAAATTTTTAAAACATGTGGTCCCAGGGCGAGGGGTTCTGGTGTTTCTCGAGGGGGGGGGTGCTCTATTGATAATATACTAGTAGTGAAAATGTGTTTATTCCTTTAAAAAAGGTATACAAAGTGTATAGTTATGATGATGAGGGTACCTCCTCCAACTTTGTGAAATTCGTGACCTTGAGTCATGGGTTCTGATGTTAGGGTTGGACTGTGTTGAATCTATATTGAAAATGCATTATCTTTTTTGGAAATCTTCTCTGCTTCTGTCTGGGCAAATCGGAGGCATAGTAAAACATCTTGACCGTTCTGGTCCTGGTCAGGGCTATCTTAATTTGTATTCTACTGAGAGAAGTTTTTTCCCTTTGCCATTCACTTTTTGATAATTAATCATTGTAAATAATGTATTTGAAAGGATAATTGAATAAGTGAATTATGCAAGAATTTTTATTGTATAATACAGAAAGTAATTACTTAGTTTTAATGATCAGGTAGACTTGTAAATAATAGATTTATATATTTATTTAAATAAAAATAAGACAAAAAAATAACTTGTCTTATTAAATGTTCTTCAAGGACCAAGAGAGGCCAATGTGAGATGTTATAATATGGGGTTAAAAATAGTACTGAAGCAATAAATATTTTGTTAATAGTCTACATGGTAATAGTGATAAATGGGGGACAGATTAGAAATATTTTATGAGTTGTTAGTGAATACTAGACTAATTATTTCGTTGATCCTGATCGTCCTATTTCTCTTGCTTTTGGTCAACAATGCTTCATCTCAGTTTATTTTATACTCTAAGGATCCTATAAATTGTTGTATTATACTCAGGTGACCGTTAAGGCCCTTTGGCCTCTTGTTTTAAATTTATGTACTAGCTTTAAATTTTGTCTAAGCCGTCATTTCTTTCTATCATAGATAATAAACTATCCTCAATCTCTATGTTTGACAAATGTAGGAAAGCTTTGTTATAGTAAAATAAACATGAAATTAACAGAAGGCCAATTTTGACAAAAATTCTTGAGTTAAAGAGGCAAGTAAACGATTTCCCCTTACTCACGTTGTTAAATACTTTTAAAAAAAGGTTTTAAAAATTTTGTTTGATACCTCCTTACATTATTAGACATATATATAGATCAGATCATTTGTTACGTATTGTTTTCAAAATAAAATATTTATTATGTGGAAAAGTTTTCCTGGCGATGTATATATATACAATTTTTTTTCAACTTTATTCACAAAAATGAAGAGAAGTACAATTAACAATCTTTAATGAATAGCTGTCTCACACTACAGTTTTATCTTGACAGGCGGACCGTTTCAAGCGGCGTGGGGATGACAGCTACAAAGTGTGTAGCTTGCTGTCCATCGTTATTAGTCTCGTCACCATTGTCGTTGCAGGGCTGTCCTGGGTTTTTTTCTACATCTACATTTTCCCGTTGCTTTATAGATATTATTGGAGGTGGTGACCACTGATATATAGAGTAACGGCCATTCCTTATTTAGACACCGGTCTTGTTAAACATTAGAAATATTCGTAAAATTTACACAAAATCATTTTTTTTTAAAATTTGTCTGTGGTATTTCCTATATCCAGTTAGTTTCATATGCATGTACATGTATTTTATTAATAATGTAATCACAGAATTCATCATACCTGTACCATTAACGTTTAAAGGAGCTTAATGGGATGCTAATGTCAAATTTTCTATTTTTATATGTTTGTTTGTTGAAATCATAGACTGTTCTTTTTTTTTTTTTACATGTTTAATATGTTTTTATCAATTAAGTCAACTTTTTTATATACAGTAGCGAGATTAAACAGTTCCTTTTAGGGGGTGAGGTGGGGGTTAAGCCTCTTTGTGAATATCAAAACTTTTTGGATTAAACATTATACTGGTTCAGATTTATTTGTTGTGCCATAGCTCCATCAGCCTATAAGGAATATTTTTTTTCAGGGAGAAGTAAGAGTTCATGTATAGTATTTAGAGGCATAACACTTTATTGCACTGTTTGATATACTTTTTTGAATGTTTCTGGAGAAGAGGCTGGAAATTAAAAAAAAAAGAGAGAGGTTCATGGGCTTGACGGTTACCTGAGTACCATGAGGTTCTCAGGTTCTCAGGTTTTGAACACTGTGGCTCCACCTATCTGACACTGTAACTCTATATAATTTATGTGACAATTTTTTTTTTACTGTCTGTTGAGAATTTTACAATTATTAGGCTCATAATTATAGAGCTTGTTTCCTGGAAATTGAGTAGTATAGAAAATAATAAATGTAAACGTTTACAAAAATCTCATCATGGGACCTGTTACCTGGACCATTGAGCCATGAATTTTATAATTTTTGTAAAGAACTACACACCGTAGCTGTTCATTATAAACATGCAAAAGTTATCTGTTTCATGTCGATAAGTAATAAAAAATATTTCAAAAGATGACATATACTTTTAATACATGATCTACTTGGCTCGATCCTCCCTGAAGCCCGAATCTTGGACCAAGGGCCATTAATTTGACGATTTTCATGGAGGATTTTGTGTTAATATAATCAAGCAAACAGTTTGTCTTTCGGCACTGAAAAACTGCTTCGTAATAGGAATTTGTCCGCCATATTCGATTGTTCACTCGCTATATCTGAGGGCCCCTATATAAAGCACTGTTCTGTGTAATCAGTCGTTACAGTCAAGTGTAACGAATGCGAAGGGTATACCCCGGTGCTGATATCGTAGATAGTATTATCGAAAATGGCGTATGCCTACATGTATTTACGAGTCGTGTTCAGCTGTTTAAGCTATTCTATGATAAAAAAAAAAAAAAAAAAAAAAAAAAAAAAAAAAAAAAAAAAAAACTTATAACACGTACATTTGTGGTGTCAGCTACCCTTTCTGATTACATTATCTAACTAGTTATGAAAGCTTTAATTTGATTGGTGCTTCTCAATAAGAGAAGCAAGCCCTAAAATATCGAATGAAATTGGCCAGGGGTCCCCAGGCAACATGTTGACTCAGGACCCCTGGCATTACGAGGATGATAACTCATACTTCATACCACACTTCAGAAAAGTACACCCACCATCTTGAATTACAATGTACTTCAAAATATATGCTTATGTTTTCTTCTTGGATCTTTGTGATACGGTGATTTTTACTGTTGACAACAAACTGAGAGGGAGAAAAGCAGCAGCATTCCTGTTATAGGATTCACCAATAAAATCGGTGTTTTAGTGCTAAAATGTACTTATTCTTCCATCTCCATGATAAATAGGCCTCTACATGACTGCAGGAGCTAATACTTTATCAAACAGAGTGATTCTACACACTAAAACATCTCTGTCTTACATTGCTTCCTATTACCACTATATACACAGGGTAATATCAGTATTTGACTACATCAGAGTAGAGATTTAGAGAAACAATTACTTTTGAGGGGAGGGGAGGTTAACCAGCATCTAAAGGAAAATTTACTGTAGCAAAATACTATACTTTACTCGAAAAAAGGGGGGGGGGGGCACTCCTCGCGTTCTACGGGCCTGATTGAATATACACAACTACGAAAAGGAGGTTGAATTATACAAAAATTTCAATAATATTTGCTTGTAGCTTTAGACAAGATGTGTTTGTGAAACACTGATGCCCCTGTATGGCAATTCATAGCAAAGGTTAAACTTTCTCAAATGCAAATCAAGTATGTTGGTATCTTGTCTCGAGGAATATACCTGTGAAATATGAAAACCCTAGCAGTAACCATTGAATAGATATGGAAAAGGTTAAAGTTTTTCAAACGTAAGTCAAACATCAAGGTCAAATGGTCAAAATTAATGGTGCCCAAGGAAAGGCCTTCTCACAAGGAATACACATGTGAAATATGAAAGCTGTAACACCAATAAACCAAATGTTATGGCGAAGGTTAAAGTTTTCCAAAAGTGGATCAAACTCCAAGGTCAAGGTCAATGCATTACAATTGTTGGTATCCAAGGAAAAGTCTTGTCACAAGGAATAGACATGTTAAATATGAAAGCCCTAGCACCAACTGTTCAAAAGTTGTGTTCAAGGTTAAAGTTTTCCAAAAGTAGGTTAAACTCCAAGGTCAAGGTCAAAGGATCAAAGATGTTGGTATCCAAAGAAAGGTCTTGTCACAAGGATTACATATATGAAATCTGAAAGCCCTAGCACCAACCATTCAAAAGTTATGGCCAAGGTTAAAGTTTTACAAAAGTAGGGTTAAACTCCTACGACAAGGTTAAAGGGTCAAAGTTGTTGGTATCCAAAGAAAGGTCTTATCAAAAGGATTACACATTTGAAGTATGAAAGCCCTTGCACCAACCGTTCAAAAGTTATGGCAATGGCTGAAGTTCGGTAAAATTTTGCGAAACTGGGTCAAACTCCAAGGTCAAGGTCAAATATGATAGTACCCAAAGAAGGGTCTTGTCGCAAGGAATACACTTGTGAAATATGAAAGCCTTAGCGCCAACCAGTCAAAAGTTATGGGCAATGTTAAAGTGTTTGCGGATAAGCAGACAGACAGAGACAGACGGACGGACAGGGCAAAAACTATATACCCCCGAATCTTTGATACGGAGGCATGAAAGGTATTGAAAAAACAAAGTATGAAATTCATTTTAACTTAAGTTTTATACATTTCTATTGTTATTTAACTTTCTAAAATAAAAGTTTGACCCCTCCCCTCTCTGGAAATCTGCATCCGCTCCTGGACAGACGAAAAAGAAATTTAACAGAAAATATAGCTTCTATTAGCTTCAGAGAAAATGATTCCTTTTCGTCATTTGAAACCTATGCAATTTTGATGGATTAAATGTCTACAAAAATCTTCATTTAAGACAGCAGTAAGTCATCCATGTAACTACATCAACACAACCAGAATTTACTGCATGTAGTTATAGAATCTATTATATATCAAAGAGCTATTGATGATCTGAACAGACCATCATGTCCATCTGCTATCTCAAAAACTGAAACAATTTTCTTTCTCAAAAAAATCCACCTGGACGAGTTTTGTCTGTTCAAGGTGACCTTGAGTCAAGGATAAAATGTATAAATTTAATTTTAATACCGGATACTTGCACGCTTCAGTTAAAGAGGGAAGTATGCTGTCCTATCATTGTAAGTAAAATCTTAAAGTTTGTGAGGATTTAACTAATTTGTTTTCGTTCAACACTTGTAAATATTTAATTCTAGTTAACCATTGAGCAATATAGATCTAGATAACAGTAGATTTTGTCAAAGAAGTTTCTCAAACAATAAACTATTCAAAAACTTTCTGTAATTTCTTTCTTTTTTTTCTTTTTTTTTTTTTTTTGATCAATTTCACTCTTACTCCTCATTTTTAAATTCATTTTATAAAATTTCTTAGTATAGATAGCATCAGAATAATCAAGATGTAGGAATTATTGCCACTTTTTTTTTTAACTTAATGGTCTGGTAAAATGTCTGTTGAGACTATTCCCCATAGGACGATCCCTGTAATCGAAACCATCTTACGGTTTCTGTTTAGTTAGTTTTAACACATAAAAGTTGAAAAACACGGAAATATGTTATAAAGTTTACGGAAATAATTATCTAAAGACTCCAAACGAAGCCAATTGTAGAGTTTAAAAAAAAATCTGTTTAGAAGAATATCCTTATCTAACAGGAGGGAGTTGACACCCTCAGTACCCCCTCCTCCACTCTAGTCTCTCTTCACTCCATCCCTCTGTGTTGAATATACAACCCCTGGCCAGGTAGGTATTGTTGCTTTTTGCCAACATATAATATATAATGGTTGAAAGGATCGTGGGTATATGTTCTCAGCTGTACACACTACTAAGGAAAAGCTAATAGAATGTGTTTATGTCTATACAATACGTAACATGATAGCTATGTTTAAAGTTGAACGATTTTCATTGTAAATACGTAATAAATACCATATCTGCGTTCTTAGATCGATTACAAAGTTACACCTATTGTACATATACATTTAGTAGCAATAAGTAATGTGCAATTACCAAGCAAAGTCTTCACAAATGTGTCCCCCTTTAGCATAGCGCGTGTTCAAGCAATCCCTCTCCGACAAGATATTTGAATTTGACCCTGAGGCATGAGATAAATGCACCCCTTTCTCCTTTTATTCTTTAGCAAAAAAAGTAACACATACACTCGCGTAGCCTGTTATGTTGCAGTTCTATTTTTAACACTCGGTAGGGAGTGATGCCCTTAACCTTAAGGAGGCTGGGGGGTCAACAAATTAACCACAAATTAACCACCAGATTTAACTTAATTTTTTAGATATGATATCTTAAGCTGTCAACTATCATTTGGCAGAGAAAAAATTTCAAAAATTTTAGTTTTAAAATTTGATCATTTTCTATATCTTCATATGGAGCTCTTCTTCTAAAGGAGATCAATATAGTCTAAAAATGGCCACAACCCCCTAGCCTCTTTAAACAAAGGACATAGGGTACTAAAAAATATGATATAGAAAATTAAACACATTTTGTACAGTCTTTATTATTGATTGAACGCATACTTTTCTCGACACTTTTCTTGAAGCCAGGGTGTATCAAAATCTAATTTACAATTACATATGTAGGACTTGGATAGAAGGCATACGACTCGTTGGATGAAAATACTGTCCCATTATAAAATGGGAGGACCTTATTCTACTTTATCAAAGGTTTTATGATGAAATCTGCATTATTGACGCTATTGTGTATTTACTTTTCTGGAAAATCATATTTAGCTGTCAGAAAAGCTGAAAACTCACTGGTCCCCCCCCCCCCAACTTTCCCGACCCCGTAAGAATTATAAATTTTCAACATGAAATCGGGATTTTAAGGTTGAAATCCAGACTACCCTTGATTTATTTTAAGAGCCATTCTCTGTAATGACTTTAACTTTTATATAGGAGCTGTGGCACGCATAGTCTCAGTATTTCTCCGAAATCTCTATGATAAAAGTCTTTGATACTGTAAACTCAAATTAGGCAAAAATTGGTTGCTACGTGTCATGGTTACCATAGCAACATGTTCTAAAGTTTGAAAAAATGGCATTTTTCAACATGTTCAGAGTCCCACAGTTAACGTTTGCAGCAAAGCAAACAAGTGGCAATGACTGTTTCTGAAAGTTGAAGGCCTTATGTCTTAAATGCATGATAAATATGTTTGGTAAATCAGCTATTACATACGTTACTATGGAAACAAAGTATTCAAAAGTAATAATTTTGTTCATTTAAATTTATAAAGTCATACACTTAAGAATAAAAACAATTATAGGTTGAAATGCAAGCAAATAATAGATAAGAGATCCTTTTTACATATACCAAGGACGAAATATGATATTTCTTATAGGTTGGCAATGGTTGCCATGGTTTTTATACCACAAAGTTATTTTAAATTTACTTTCTTAGTGTTTTAATCTTATCCTATCTTTTTAAAAAGCATATTTCTATATAACTGATGATCAATTTTTAAAGGCGCTAGTGTGACCCTAGTTTTCACATTTCAAAAAATTCAAATTCAATTCTTTAAATATAGCGTTGCTGTGGAAATTAGCCGAAAAAATATGCATAAAAATCTGAAAAATATTTTGTTTCCTTGGATACGTACCCTTGTATGTAGATTCCCAAAACTTTTATGATTGATATATATGAACAACTAACCTGACTTTCAATTTTGACTACCAACCAGTCTCTAACTGGATGCAAAAAGCTGGCACATAGGATTTAATATTGATATAAAATTAACAAAATCGAACATTTTCCCTTCTTGGTAACCATAGCAACAGTGTTGTATTTTTCAACAAACTTTATCAATATATGATATTCAACTTTAGTTCTACCAGATAAGTACTATTCAAGGTGAGTCAAATACTATGTTTTTTGATTAAAAGCTAGGTAAATTCCTAAAGCAGCAAAAAAATATCTCTTTAAACAACTGGTACGTTGTTTCCATGGTTACACTGCAAAGTAACAATTAATCCCAATATTTCTTATGTTGTTGGTGTTGCAAGGTCCTAAGGATGTAAATGTGCCAGTCATGAATTTTATTGTTTTTCCTCAAGATAGTAGCATTAACCCAATCTTAGCAACATATTTTGCATGGCTACACTGTGTTACCAAAGTTATATTTAGAATAATATTGCCAATACCTAATTACTTAAGGTCAAATATTTTTATTGTTTTTCTTTGGTTGTTGATTGAGTTTGATCATGTAACATCTATCATTAGTGAATATTGAGCATTTTTCAGCGTCTAAAATGTATTCCGAATGTGCCCATGGTTACCACTTACTTAGAGATAAATTCTAAATAGTTTCTTTATAGCATAAGTGGCAACAAGGTGTCATGTTTTTGTGAGAATAGTTTGTTTGTTTTTCTTAGTCTTTATTTAGGCTTAATAAAGATTCAAAGTAGCTGAAAATCTCAATTTTTTCAACTTTTCTGGCTGTTACCATGGCAATTAAGACACATAGCAACGAAATTTTATTGGATATATGTTTCTGGTGTCAAGTTGTAATAATGGGCAAAGTTTCATCAAAATCGGTGACCATGCGTGGCAAAGAAGTTTAAGTGGTTACAGAGAATCGCTATTAAATCTTCAATTTTAGCTGTTCTGGAAGTAGTAAAAGAATATGTTGGGAACACACAGCTAGTAATATTTTGAGATGGCAGCTTAATTATAATCAATTATCATGCAAACAGTATTCCTGCTAGCTGCAGATCTGTAGCTCACTCGTCTGAAAAAAAATGCAATGGACGACGAGAGAGCTAGAGTACTAGTGCCACCACTAATTTATTTTAAATCCTCAAATTTAGCTGTCAGAAAAACTGAATAATTCGTCAGCTTGTGGGGCTTCCTCAGACCCCACCAGAAGAAATTATAAAATATAAAAAAAAAAAAATAGCATTTTAAATGTTGAAATTCAGAGTAATTATTTTTCAATCTCCTTTTCTGGACACTCAAACATAGATGTCAGAAGTGTTGAAAATTCACCCACTTTCACCAGCTTCGCCCTGGACCTATTAAAGGCCCCAAGGCGGCTGTCAAACCCCTGGCTTTATTTGCTTCCACATCAAACAGCCCCTTTAACAACGCCCCTGGGAGCCATCCTTATTCTTGCATTCTCTCGAAAATATATCTACTTCCATATCTACTGGTATATTGAAATTTTAAAAAAAAATTAATGCCTCGAAATTTTATTACTTTTTCTGACTAGCGTTGAACTGCTGTTATACTTTAAAATCACATATTTTTGTCAAATTTTCATGGTTTGAGGAAAAAATACGGGTTCATGGGGTTTGATTTCATGGATGAAAAATTGTTGAATAGTTAAATATATGACATTTTACAATTCGTGGACATGAGTTCGTGGGTCTCTTTTTACCTCGAAAACAACTAAAATAAACCCCCACAAAATTAGGGCCGTCCATTCCAAATTTTTTTCCTGCAGTTAGCAAGAATACTATTTGCAGGATAATTGATTATAATTAATCCGCCATCTCAAAATATTACTAGCCGTATGTTTCTAACATATTCTTTTACTACTTCCACAACAAAACATTCCTCAAACCGTTGTTTATAGCCCTCCAGGCCTGGGTTTAAAATTGAAACAATCGAAAATTTTGCCTATTTATACTGCCATTTTGGGTCGCAAGACAATTCGGTCCAAGGTGCTTCGTGCATGACTTGTACATGCAGTTTTGTTGTAGAATTAGTAAAATAATACAGTAGTGTAGGAAAACACGGACAGTAATAGTTTAAGATGGCAGCTTGAATGTAAATAGAGAAACAGCGCATTTTTTATGCGCAATAAATATACACTTTTTTCAATGGGTGGCACTGTAGCTCTTTGGTCGTCCATCCCAATTTTTTCAGACCAGCAAGCTGCATATCTGCAGTTAGGGGACTAGGACCACGAAATTCATAAATTTATTTCCATTTACCCATAGATGCTATATGAATATATGTATACCAAAATGGGTTAAAATTGATCAAGTCATTTCAAAGAAGCAATTAAAAAACGACGCACTGATGGACAAGACTAGGGAATAATAGGTCAACTGAGTGACAAACGAGACTTTATAGATGGGACGATAAAGTAGACTCAACGGCTGTAAAGACCTTTACCTTAAAGAAATAAACTTGACTCGATTAATGTCAGGACACATTATTTCGTAAATAAGACCCGTATCTGAAATATGATCTTTTATGGGCGAGACAAAAAAGGATACAGGCTATATGAAATTGAACACACGAAATGACAAAATGGCAAATGGAATTTTATAAATTACTCTGGAATCAATTTAGTTCATGGGGTTTAATATTCGTAGAATCGTAAAATTTAACTGGTTCGTGGGGACGTAATTTTGTTGGAAATCTTATACACATTAGATTCAATGAATCGATACTTGGACAAGGTTTGTTCGTAAGGATTTAAATTCGTGGGTATGAGTGCAGACCCATGGAATTCCACGAACATAGGTCCCCCACGAACAATGATGGTTCCACATTACACCTTATAAGACTAGTATATTACAGGAAAAGCTTTGAAGATAAAAATTCAATTTAACAACGTGATATAGTCAACAGACTCGAATGCAAAATTAGGAAATGGGATGTCAAAGACCAGCGCTTATCTTCAAACTTGATACCAAAGTGAGATGTTTGTCTACAAAGCTTATTATGCTTGAATCTTGAAGAATCCCATGCATCAATATAGAGTTGAATTCTCTACTACTGATTTTCCTTCTCAAGAACATAATTCGCTCTTTTTATGATCATTGAAACTTTTATTCTCTAATCCTGCAAAGAAAAAGAAAGGCACGTCAAACAACTCCTAATCTATATTACAACCTGGCTAAATTACAACATAATACAACTATTCAGAAATATTTCTTTTCAAAAAACTGTTAATATCTTTTTAGGATATACCTAAGAGGCAACATATATAAGTGTGATGGAGGCTTCCAGAGAGGTACGTCTTATAATAAATATTGATATCAAACTTGATTATCATATATACATGTAAGAGGGGTTTTTAATAAGAAATTTACCAAATTTAAAGTGAAAAATAATCTGAAGAGATTACCTGCCTATTATCGCCAAAAGAAGCAAAAGTTTTTTCGTTGACTCGAAATGTCCAGTAATGCAGGAACCTACACCCAAAGGCAGGACTATCATTCGTAGCTTGTATGTTTCAGAAAAGCATTGAGGAAAGTTAAGCATTTCTTTTGTAAGTGACTTCCAAATACCGGTCTCCGTCAAGTTGGTTTTTAGTAGCTTTAATGTTCTTAAAATGTATGGAGGAAAGTTAGGTTTTACCAAACGTCAACATGCCCAAAAATTTATTTTTCAACAGCTCCAAAACTATGTGAGGTATAAAGTTAAAACGTTTACAGTTTATAAAAATATCATTGATTAACAGATAGAAAGTATCACTTGATAACAAATACTTAAAGAAAGTATTTAACGAGAAAAATTCTTTTTAAAAATGCATATATATATTTTTTTAAAAATACACCTAATTAATTCCGCACTTTTAGTGAAAGTCATCATTGCAGAAACAATATATGTTTATCAATGAAAGGCAAGTTGGACTTCGATAGTCTCTGGAAAGTTGTTTTCCCTGTTTATTTTGTCCAAATATTAAGATTTGAAACCGAAAGTACATTGCAAATGGCGGATTTTATAGGGTACTTGTCTTTATACATGTCATGCTTTCAATAATAGCCTTTCAGAGACCATTCACGTCCAACTTGCCCTTCATTGATAAACATATATTATTTCTTCAATGATGGTTTTCACTAAAAGTACAGAATTAAGCAGGTGCATTTTTTTAAAATGTGCAAATTTTTTGAAATTGTTTTTTCTCAAAAAATATATTTTTTTAAATATTTGTTTTTAAGTGATACTTTGTATCTGTTAATCAATGATATATTTATAAACTGTAAAAGTTTTAACTTCATACCTCACATAGTTTTGGAGCTGTTGCAAAAATAAATTTTTGGGCAGGTTGACCTTTGGTAAAACCTTAAGCATCTATTTCGTAAGTGACTTCCAAATACCGGTCTCCGTTAAGTTGGTTTTTAGCAGCTTTTATGTTTTAAAAATGTATTGAGGAAAGTTAAGCATCTCTTTTGAAAGTGACTTCCAAATACCAGTCTCTGTTAATTTGGTTTTTACCGAGTAGTAGGTTTTATGTTTTAAAAATGTACTTAGGAAAGTTCAACCTGAACACTACTCGTAAATAGGCAACACCATTTTCGATATTACTATCTATGATATCAGCACCGGGGTATACTCTTCGCATTCGTTACACCTGACTGCTTTATTGTCACGGGTATCAGCGTGGAATTGCGACCCGTGCTCATGCTGGTTATCTTGCATTACCTTTGTTTACATTTTATTGCAGTTACGCGTATATTTACAAGTGTTTGTTTGTATACTGCACTGACCTGTACAACTGTTTATAAGTTTCTTTGGTATCTTTCTCAGAATAGGTACACAGTTATATTTTGTCGCTACCGAGTGCTGTATAGCATATATCCTTCTACACAGGTGACAATTGATTACACTGAACAGTGACCAAGTCATCGGCTTTATATAGGGGCCCTCAGATATAGCGAGAATCCAATCGAATATGGCGGACACATTCCTTTTACGAATCGTGTTCAGCTTTAAGCATCTCTTTTGTTAAGTGACTTCCAAATACCGTCTCCGTCAAGTTGGTTTTTAGTAGCTTTTATGTTTTAAATATGTATTGAGGAAAGTTAAGCATCTCTTTTGTAAGTGACTTCCAAATACCTTCTCCGTCAAGTTGGTTTTTAGTAGCTTTTATGTTTTAAATATGAATTGAGGAAAGTTAAGCATCTCTTTTGTAAATGACTTCCAAATACCGTCTCCTTTAAGTTGGTTTTTAATAGCTTTTATTTTTAAAAATGTATTGAGGAAAGTTAAGCATCTCTTTTGTTAAGTGACTTCTAAATACCGTCTCCGTCAAGTTGCTGTATTTAGTTGGTTTACATGACAAGTCTGTCGCAAACAAGCAGAGATGTCAGATCTTTTGTTTTTTAAAAGAAACTCTTGTACAGAGCTTAGCCATCTCTGTATTCTCCAGATCTCAGTCCTTGTGACTTCTTTGTTTTCCCAAAAACTCAAAATTAGATTTGACGGGAAGACGCTATAATCAGATCTGCCTGGAAATTGCCATCCATCAGTGACATTTGAGGATTCCTAAAGAGAGCATGCCGAGACGTTTTAGTCATGGATAAGGAACTGTACATGTAAAACATGTAAAAGTTAATGGAGAGAACTTGAGGGTTTAAAAAATGATAAGAAACAGCTTTTCATGTTTTTCTTTTCTTTTTTAATGACCTTATGCATTGGTTATTGAATGTCCTTCTTGTACAATAATTAAGCATTGAATCATTATTTTTTGAAAGATATAGTCTCATAACTGCAACTGTGTGTGCAAACAAATTGAGTAACGCGCGTTACGCGTTATGAAAATTTGTTTGCACACACCGTTGCAGTTGTGAGACTATATCTTTCAAAAAAATAATGATTCATTGCTTATATTTACATTTTTAACTCCTAGCCTTGACTGAAAATGTGATTTAGATTTCAAAATCTCTATCATCCTTCGGGTAAGGTAAAATTAGTGGAAGAGCCATTGCAACAGCTTCTGTTCAATGTGAGCGTGAATTTTGATTTTCGCATATGACTTGCACGGCGTTCAACGTTTGTAACGTCAAATTAAAACGCATACTTTAACCTATTGACCTCATGTTTGTGTTATGGTGTTTTTAATGCCACAGCTTTCCTCACACTTTATATGTGGAATGTAAATATTAATATTAGATGAGAACCTAATGAATACAATGTATGTTGTATTTCCAAATATAAAAGGATCCTTAAAACCGCCTCACTAGGCTTGGACTAATATAATTAGTATATCGTCGGTGTTCCGTGTACCAGTTTGTTGTTTACTATCGTAAAATCAAGTATAGCAAATGGGGTAACCATTATTACTGTGAAAATCTACCAAAAATGTGAACATGCAGTAATCAATGCTTATGTACCAAGTTGTACTGTAGGTGGTGATAGAAATAGAGAGAGAGAAGGGACCTGCTGATCTTGTATATTGCCTGTCATGTCTCTCATTCTGGCTGACCAGCTGGCTGTGTGGTGCGGTGGCATACATCATGGCTTATAAGGTACTTGCTAAAGCAACACAATTTATTAGGTCACCAGAATCACTCAGGCGACCTATTGCTATCTGTTTTTGTCCGTCGTCATGGGTTGCGCATTGCGCGCGTCGTGTGTTTAAAACATTTAAACATTTTCAGCTTCTCTGGAACTGCTGAACCAGTTTCAACCAATTTTGACATATGACATCTATGGATGAAGGGAACAAAAACTTTGAAATCCATGCCCCCCCCCCTCTTGGGGCCCGAGGGGTGGACTAAAACCATCAAAATTAATACAATTTTTAAAAATAATCTTCTTTACTCCTGGAAATTAAGCAGTCAAACTGTAGCAAGATTGTAATAAGCACTGAGCCCTCTACTAACATTATAAAATTCATGGCCACATGGTCAGGGGTTCTGGAGTTAGGTGAGGATGTATTGACCAAATAGTGAAAAGTATTAATTCATTGAAAATCTTCTTCTCTGCTCCCGGGTATTAAGCAAGCAAAGTGCAATGTTTTAATAAGCATGGGTGCCCTTTTCCAAAATTATGAATGTCATGACCCCTGGGTCAGGGGTTCTGGTGTTAGGGCGGGGCTCTGTTGATTATATAGTTAAAATACATTATTTCTTTGAAAATCTACATCTCTGTTCCTGAATATTGACTATTGAGCTAACAAACTAAGTGCATGGTAATGATGGGCAAGGGTACCTCTTCCAAAATTGTGAATACGTCTTCCGGAGATTCTGGTCAGAAAAGTAACCAGTCAAAACATGTGTCTTTTGTTTGTTTTTTTAACCTAATTATAAGATGTTGTTATGATTACAAGGAAGAAAACACTAAATTAACCAAGAATATATCGAATAGGGACTTTCTTAATACTCTGAAAATCTTCTCCACTTCTGGGCATCTAGGAGGCAAACAAGTACAAAAGTTGTATCAAGCAAGGGTGTTTTTACGAGATTTGTGAAATTGTGGACAACTGGGTTAAGTGTTCTGGTACTTGGCTGGGCTCTATTGATCTTGAGGACATTTTGTACCCCACTGAGAGAAGTTATTCCCCTTTGTATTCACCTATGAAAATTAATCACTGTAAATAATGTAAATGATAGATCATTTGAATAAAAGAATTATCTAAGAATTTTTAATGTAAAATACATGAAAGTACTATCATAGTTTTAATGGTCATATAGACTTGTAAATAATACATAAATTAGAATGAGACAAAAATAACTTATCTTTGTACATTAAATATTCTTCAAAGACTATTAGAGAGGCCAATGTTAGAGAATAAATTGGGGTTATTACAAATGCTTAGGGACTATTGTAATGTCTCGTCTGTATGGTGATAGTGACAACTAGCACATGCAAGTGCAGGCAAGTAAATCTTTTGGGCAACTCATCCTCATCTACCAGTTTATTTTTGATTTATTAGTATTTTATACTCCTATGGATTCTCTACACTGTTGTACTATACTTAGGTGTATTTAGGTCCCTGGGCCTCTTGTTTTATAGTTTCTAAATATAAGACATTTATGGAAGTTTTACACCTGTGTTTCTTACAAATAAAAGTTGGGGATGGGATCAAGAAGATCCAAGTTCTGTCCTCATTTACCTTTATAAAGAGGATCACGATCCTTCGACATTTGGTCATTACTCATAAACCATATTGCCCTAATGTTCAAAATTTATGACTACGATATTTGTAACAAACATCTTCAAAAACTTAGTTGAAGTCTTTGAAGTAGTATATAGGTCTGTTCTTGTAACAAACGTCTCCAAAAACTTAGTTGAAGTCTTTGAAGTAGTATATAGCTCGTTCTTGCATTAATTCTATGTTTATTTATATTCTAGGCAGAGAAAGCTAAGAAATATGGCGACTCCCTTCGTTTTAAGTTGTTCAGCAGTGTTGGCATCAGTCTAGGAGTAATAGGCATAATTATCGGTCTGGCAGTCATCGTTCTTTTCCACAGATTCATCTACCCAGTCTGGTACCGATATCTCTATATGTCGGTGGAGCCAGAGTATGTCTGGGAGTAATGATGTGTGGGCACTTTACTTCCGGAAAATGAGAAGGAGAACGTCGTACTTCCGGGAAGGGTGAACCCTATAAGGTTCTCGTTTAATGTGTAAAGATATGAACTTTTTAAAACATATAATTGATTCATTCAGAAATTTCGAAATAATGTATAGGTTTAATTAGGAATAAACAAGATATAACAAATGACTTGAATTTGGCTTCCAACAGAATTTTATACATAGGAAAATATTAATACCTGTTTCACCCCGGCAACGCTTTCAAAAGGCAATGATATTTTCCAAACTCTAAAAATTAGCTCAATATATCTCAGTCATTGAATCCTATTAGAGTGCCATCGTGTAATATTGGAATTTCCAGGGTGGCAGTAAATACAAAAATTACAAAATGACATGTTCAATTTTTTATATATACATGTAGTTACTGCGCATGCCATTCGGAAAATTAAAAAAATACATGACGAGACTGTACAAATAAGTCACAGTATAGTTCCATTTCTTGGCTGAGGAATTTAAAAACTTCACTCTCGTGTGAATCCAAAGCCGTACCTCACATGATTTGCGTTTTCTATAATAAATACAAGAAATATATATTGGTGTGCGTGTGCGTTTTTTTTTTTAAATTTAGCTCTCATCTGTCGCGCACTGAGTTAAAATATAGGCACCAGTGTGAATGACAAGAAAGAGACATTGCAGCACACCTCCGACAAAAAATGTGGATCATTAATGATAATGCCCAATTAAATTTATACCTTTCTTAAATCTGTGAAAAATCGGTTTTTCATGAGTTTGATACGGTGGCTGGTATAGAACGTGGTATATGGGATTTTTTAGAGATTAATTTTCGGCCAAGAAATGAAAATTCATTGTCACGAAACAGAATTAGTGGCCACAAATTAAAATTTCTGGTCACAAAATAAAAGTTTCAGGGAATGACTAAATTAGTACATGTATATATTCTGTATATAAAGTAAATTTGGAAAGAGTTCTCTCAAGCAAACTGTACGTGTTTTAGTCTAAACGGCGAATTATTTCGATAGAATAAAGCAACAATGCTGTGTTGGCAGTTTTGAAACATCAGATTTAGGATAAAAAAAGAATTGCAGGACCTTCTTAATTTAATTGTTCCTTTTATCAAACTAAAAACAGACTTCTATATCTTTAACAGAGTCACAATTAATTTTAAAATTTACGTCAAATGCAGCAGCTTTCGAAGCATGGATCACTTCCGGAAGGAAGAACGTTTTGTGCATGTCTTGAGGCAGCAAGGGTTGCGGAAAGGGTTTCTTGGATTTGCTCTATTCATCTCCATAGCATGACGAATAATCGAGTTAAGTCGGATTATCATATTGCAGCAGAATTTCTCATGGACACATGAGAAATAATATGTATATTTATCATCACAAAAAGTACTCTAGAATTATAAGAAGGCAAAATGTGTTTTTAGTTGAAATAAATAACCAATCTCTCACCAGAAACGAGTGCAAATTGCAAATTTTTATATCCTAAAGACATATTAAACCTATATCAATTTAAACATTGCATCAGTGTCACAGTATTCAATCATGACAAAAATTATTTTCCTTTCAAACAATAGAAAAAATCACAACCTCGCAGTTATAATAAATCAAACACATGATTTATACAGCGAATCTTACTTCTCTAGAATTAAATGTGCAAACGTAAGTGGAATTTATGTATACGGAAGGCCCTTATATACATGTAGGTAGTTGTTTAATTGCTGTATATAGCTAAAAATCTTCTGCAATACAGATTTATAAATAAAACTTTTGTGTGCTATATCAATGCGTAAAGAATGTTTGCTATAAAATAAAGCTGATATAAATGTAATTATCAGCTTTGCACATAATAAATATTAAATTGTTGAATGTTTAATGTTTTCTTTTTTGACATTTACAATGAATCATATATTTTTAATCAAAATTTTGACCGGTTATCTTGAGTTTTATCTAATATACTGAATATATCTGCTTAAAATTTCGCAGCTTTGCATAACATTCAAATTCAGACATCTGATAAAAAATTTGTTTCATTACCTAAAATATTTAAAAAGTTATATAGATTCGAAATTTTGCGTAAGTCTGTTCTCGGTTTATGGTCGTTGAGCCAGTGTATACGTTTCCATAACGTCTTTTATTCATAATTTAATTGAAAATTAAACAAGAACAGATATGGGTTACCCCATATCCAAGATATTCGACTTTTAATTCATTCGAATTTTCATTACGCTCAGATGATTTCTAATTAAAAAAAACTATTTACTGATAAAACGTCAGAGATACTCAAGCTGTAGAAAGTCAACTATACAATGGTCATAAATATCCTAAAATGACATAATATTTAGGCTACTGAGTTTCAACATCTTTTGTTGATTAAAATATGCATGTACTAAGGAAACTGCATGTACATATATAACGTTACATGCGTGTAGTGACTTATTATCACAACGTTGCAGATGCCTAAAAAAATAGTTTTAATTTCCCATAGAACATAGACTAAATATAATTAACCGTATAATTTTAAAGATGTATTTAACAGCTCACTCATTTTCAGGAATACTTTAATCCAAATAGCATGTTACAGGCCTGTAGCAACGTTTTCAAAGTGAAAGGGGGGGGGGGCTCCGAAAAAATCCCGCGTACTATGGGCCTGTGCTACATGTGTACCATCTAACTTTCCAATGATAGAATCTTCTGTAAAAATTCGAAACAAGTCCAAGCAAAGATCAAAGATAGCCCAATTTCTTAAATAGCAAAACTATAGATCTATCAAGGGTAGATTTTAATTTATTTTTTAATTTTGTGCTATTAAAGTACTATCACTCAAAGTATAGGCAGATGTTAAAGATGGGTCAACAAGAGTAATCAATGAACTCGTCTAGAGATGCATTGACGGCCGTTGTTAAACGCAAAGTAAAGCGCGAGATCGGTTGCGGCTGTGGAGCGTCACTGAACATTCCTTCGTCATAGAATAAAATCCGACATTTAACACTTTATATAGACTTTGAATATAGAGACGTTTTGAAGATAAACTACATTTTTGTTTCTAGAAATGTTTTTATTTACAAAAATAGTATATTTTCGTGTTTATAAACTGAGTAGATCAATGACCTAGCATCGTTTTAGATAACTCAGCCCCTCTAGCCTAGTCTAAGGCTTGAGTAAAAAACCTGCACTTGTTATGAAACTGGTGTATAGTTCTTCCTCATGTCCGTAGCAAATACTGATACCCATTCTACATGATCTAAGCGTCGCTAGCGAACGGTGCACATACCTGTGCTTGCAAGACCAAATAGACTAGGTTTACACACGTGCGAAGATCCTTTCCGACGAGCTCGGCAAATCACGTTGCTTTGCCGAGAAGTTACGATTGCAGGTGTTTAACCATAGGCCTAATATCCATTCCGTTATTTAAAAAAAAAGAGAGAAAAAAAACACACACACAGTTAATGATTAACATTCTCACTCAAAAGAAAATATAGGGCAATTAACGAACAATAATCATGACAGGTATATAATTGGTGAAAAGATTTATCACTATCAATCGAAGGATGACCTATATATTTTCGTGAAAAAGACTGAGGAGGCAGCGAGCGTAGGAATATGAAAACTTTTTATTTCCTTTTCTGGGGAAAAGTGATTATCTTAAAATCATTTTACGTTAATTTTGTTTTCTTTAACGAATTAAATATACATCATTATTCTTAACATTTGTTGTAATGTTGTATCTACTGATCATGAATGGAACTATTTTCTTCGGAGCAATTGTGTGAAGAGTACCTGACTTTAGTAATATATCTTGAATAGATAATATGCACTGATCGAATATAATAATTAAAAACGTAAGCATGCATATGAGTGTAAGTACATGTATTATTAAATGTGATCCATTGCATATTTTTTTTCAAAACCTTTGAGTAGATGATATCCTTATTCATTTTCATGTGAAGTCTCAATCTTTTTCCTAAAAAAAAAAAAAAAAAAAAAAAAAATAGAACTGTAGACTTGTTTGATCGAAACAAGACCTACACTGTATTGTAACATGACGATAAAAATAGACCTGATAAGACACGAGCGCATGGCCTCCAAAAAAATACAACGGATTGGTAAGTAAAACAGTATTTTATAAAGCTGAATCTACTCTCACGAAATCAAATAAAACAATCAAATGTCATTTGCTCTGAATTCTCACAATTACCAGTAAATCTGTAGCTGAAAAACAGGAACGCCATTGTTGTTCTCTTATCAGTGTATTAAAGAATATTGAGAGTGGAAGATCATAAGTCAAAACATTGGTCTAGTTAGATCGGTCTAGCTTATTTTAAAATAAACGGGCATTCTGGGAGTATTATTGAAACAATAAATGCCCATTTTCAGTCACAACCTTTTTTTTTTAAAACAAATCATTCATTCTTGATATCTCAATTTCAACAGAATACAAGAAACCTCAGAGACATAGTGAGTCAAAATCATATATTACTTTATGATATTTCTATCATAAATCGAGAGTTTTGTTTTTAAAATTATAATCTGGGTATTATGAGCAAGGTTTTGATAAACTCAACTGCAATGTAAAGAAACAAAAGAGTGCAAAATATAAGCGCAGGAAAAGCAAAGGTTATATCTACCGCATCGCTGTTGTTATGGCGATGGTCGGGCGACCACATTTTCTCGCATTATCGGCTGAAAACTTGATCGTCCGACCCTAGTATCTGGCGACGCGGAGCAGTCATATTAATTCCTAGAAACATAGATGATTTTAATTAAACGTTTAAATATTTATAAGTCGGTCAATCGTCGTCCGATCATCGAGCGCAGAGCCGCAGTTTGATTTTCGTTTACGAAAACTCAATACGTAAACGTTGACCGACCGACGACCGACTTAACAAACTGTCTGCGGATGGTCGGGGGTTGGTCGACGGACTATTCAATGACTGCTCCAGTAGACTGATTGATTGATTGTATGTTGTTTTACGTCCCGTTCGAGAATTTTTCACTCATATAGAGACATCACCATATACCGGTGAAGGGCTTCAAATTTTGACCTTTACTCGGCACTCAGGGCCATATTGAGCAGCGAGGGATCTTTATCGTGCCAACGCCTGCCGTGACACGGGGCCTCGGTTTTTAGGGTCTCATCCGAAGGACCCGCAACTTTCACTTCAAAGTGCCGAGCGCATGGCGAAGGAACAGTTGTTACCTATCTTTTATCGACTTAGGTCAGTCGCGGTCGTACGGAAGCCCATTTAGGACCTATCAAAAAATATTTTCGAATTCGATATAACGAATTGTAGAATTTGTTATAACAAATTTAATTCGTTATAACAATTTCTTTGAATTCGTTATAACGATTTTAATCTATTATAATAAATTTGTTGAATTCGTTATAACGAATTCAAAAATTTGTTTTAACGAATTAAAAACGAATTCTAAAATTTGTTATAACAAATTTAATTCGTTATAACGAATTCGAAGATTTGTTATAACGAATTAAATTCGTTAAATCAAATTCAACATTCAGGGCCTAAAGAAAAATGTGTATGAATTCGATATAACGATTTGTCGAATTCATTTTAACGAATTTAGATCACTATAACAAATTAGAGAATTCGTTTTAACGAATTTAATTCGTTATAACAAGTTTCAGAATTCGTTATAACGAATTTAATTCGTTATAACAAAATTTTGAATTTGTTATAACGAATTCAGCAAATTTGTTATAACAGATTAAATTCGTTAAAACAAATTCAAAGAAACTGTTATAATGAATTAAATTCGTTATAACAAATTCGACAGTTCGTTATATTGAATTCAAAAACACATTTTGATAGGTCCTACATGGGCTTCCGTACTGCCGAGATTCGAACTCATGACCTTCCGATCACGGAGCGAGCGCTCTACCGACAGAGCTACCGTGAACGGTTGCTTCAATAGAAGTAATCGGCCACCGACGAAGAAAAAAATTATGCGTGGGCCTGAAGAACACAAAATTGGTCAGTCGAAGAAAAAAGAGGTCAAAATCGGACAGAACTGCTGACTGTCGCCCGATGAATCCCATTTTTGCTTCAAGAACATTTATTGGAAATATCGACCATGTCAACGTCACGTGACTTTTATTTATAGCTAAAACTCGAAAACAACATTGAATTGAAGAGTGCAAAATCTATTCGGATCGTCTTTTCCGAGGATTGTATCAAAATTCTTGGTCTATTGAACCGGAATTCCACTTCTAGGCATTGGTTCAAGAGGTAATATTTTGTGTATCATGTGTTTTTCTAGGTGTGTCTGAATAAACTTATTAAGATGAAGAATAAAAATTGCTGAAAGTAGCACGTTTTAAAAATATCTTTTTACTGTATATAAAAAGTATGAAGGTACGTCAGTTGCCATCTTGAGGTGGTGCCTCGGTTCAAACATGATTTTAATCAATAACTGCACTTTTCCTATCGCCATTTCAGCGATTTTTTAATTTTTATTTTAATGAGTGTATTCAGAAACACCTAGAAAAACACTAATACTCAAAATACACCCTCCTGAAACCAAGCGCCTATGCTTCTAGGGACTTGAGACGGTGTTTTTTTGGGTACGCGTACAATAAGGAGAAAGGAGTGAAGCAATAGAATAATAGATCTACAGTGTATTTCCGGCCTTGACAGACAGTAATTAGTTTTATCTCTGTAAAAGTAGGGTTTTTAGGTTTTGAAACCTGTAGTTTTATAAAACCTGATGGTTTCAAGAATTGAACAAAATTTGCATGGGACACACAGAAATTTTATTTAACCAATTTTCCCTTTTTGCACCACTGTGTCATTTTAAAGATTGCCCAGAAAAAAAAATCGTCGTTCATTTGTAAGGTTTGGCAATTCAATCGACATAATAGTGTTCCACAAAATATAGATATAAAAAAAACTCTACTACACACAGCAGTGTGCCAAATTTTAATCTTATGTTGAAAACTTTGATAAAACAAGATGTGTTCGTGAAACACTGATGCCCTTCGTATGGCAGGTTATGGCGAAGGTTAAAGATTCTCAAATGCAAGTCGAAATCCAGGCCAAAAGATAAAAAATGTTAAATTTGAAAGCCCTAGCTGCAACTGTTCAAAAGTTATGGCGAAGGTTAAAGTTTTTTTTAAAAGTAAATAAAACATCAAGGTCAAGGTCAAAGTTGTTGGTATCCAAAGGAAAGTCTTGTCACAAGGATTACATATGTAAAGTATGAAAGCTCTAGCACCAACCATTCAAAAATTATGGCCAAGGTTAAAGTTTTTCAAAAGTAGGTCAAACTCCTATGTCAAGGTCAAAGGGTCAAAGTGGTTGGTATTTAAAGGAAGGTGATGTCACAAGGATTACATATGTGAAGTATGAAAGCCCTAGCATCAACCATTCAAAAGTTATGGCCATGGTTAAAGTTTTTTCGAAAGTAGGTCAAACTCCTATGTCAAGGTCAAAAGGTCAAAGTGGTTGGTATCCAAAGGAAGGTCTTGTCAAAAGGATTACATATGTGAAGTATGAAAGCCCTAGCTCTAACTGTTCAAAAGTTATGGCCATGGTTAAAGTTTTTCAAAAGTACGTCAAACTCCAAGGTCAAGGTCAAAAGGTCAAAGTTGTTGTCTTCCAAAGGAAGGCCTTGTCACAAAGAATAAACATGTGGCGTTTGAAACCCCAAGCACCAACTGTTCAGAAGTTATGGCCAAGGTTAAAGTCTCATAAAATTTTGCAAAAGTGGGTCAAACTCCAAGGTCAAAAGGTCATATATGATGGTACCCAGAGAAAGGTCTTGTCACTAGGAATACACATGTGAAATATGAAAGTCATAGCTCCAACCAATCAAAAGTTATGGGCAAGGTTAAAGTTGACAACAGACAGACAGACAAACAGATAAACAGACAAACAGGTAAACAGACAGACAGGACAAAAACAATATACCCCCGGGATCTTTCGATCCAGGGGCATAAAAATAATATATACGTATCATAATTCAATATTATAATCCCCGTATTCACACCTATTTCATAGATAAGCTAGGTTTATTAAGTAAGCCAGGCTCAGATAAACTTAAATCCCACTTGAGCTGAGCTCACGTAACCCTAACCTGTGGTTTACACTAAAAATTAAACTGGTTTATATAAACTGCAGTGAATCTCATGTTTTGTCAGCATTTGATTTAAAATTACCAGAGAATTCAACAGTAAACACAGGATTAAGACAAGAATAACATATCTTTGTAGAGAAACTTTATTCCATCACTGAAAATTTCTTATTAGGAGAGTTTTCTTATTTGAACAGGTAACACTGGCTCTTATTATCATCCTCACTAAATATGACAAAGGCCAATTCCACTGCATAAATTTTACAATATAGAAAAAGACACAATTCAAGGGAGAAGATCTAGAATTTCGTATTAGTGGTGAAGGGGAGTTCTATATTCACCCATTCACCCTAAATGTTGGTTTCCTTTTTACATATACGTGTACATATATTTGCATGATTTCTCTTATAACTTAGAGAGAGGGATCTGTCTTTCCTGAGAAAGGACTCAAAGGCATTCTTGGATTAATTGACACTACATAAATTTAATAAAAACTATGTATGCAATACATGAATTTCTGACCCTGACCTTTGACCTTTTGACCTCAAAATCCATAGTTTTTTTTTCTAAATTATATTAACTAACGGTATAAAATTTCAATGCAAATCCTAAAAGAGAACGAAAGTTATCACCAGCAAACCATTTTTTGCAATATATGAATTTATGACCTTGACCTTTGACCTATTGACCTCAAAATCAATTGGGGTCCTTTTTAGGCCACAGAGAGTTGTGACATAAAATTTCATTCCAAGATCCCTAAGGCTTTTTGAGATATCGACCGGAAACGAAACTGTTAATCACAGACAGAATGTATGAATTTCTGGCCTGATCTTTGACCTTTTGGCCTCAAAATAAATAGGGATCTTTTTTAAGACATTGAGAGCTATGATATAAAATTTCATTGAAAACGATTAAAAAAAACTAAAGTTATCATCTGGAAACCATTGTTTGCAATGTGTGATTTTCTGACCTTGAACTATGACCTTTTGACCTCTAAATCAATAGGGGCCTAATTCTTTTTGCCACAAGGAGTTGATTAAAAAAAACAGCGTTTTTAGATATAGTACGGAAACGAAAGTGTTCCACACAGACAGAATATATGAATTTCTTAACTTGAACCTTTGACTTCAATGGGGTTCTTTTTTAGGCCATAGGGAGTTGTGATATAAAATTCATTGCAAAAGCTCAAAGGCTTTTTGAGATGTCTGGAAACGAAATACTTACACACAGACCAAATGATAGACGAACGGACAGACAGACCAAATTAATATCTCCCACTTTCAGTGAGAGAGGGGGACAAAAAACAAACAAAACAAACACACACACCCTCTCAAACACACTCACCCTCTCAAACACCCAACATGCACACACACACATAGAGGAAAATGGAATTTTAACTTCATTAAGGTTTTTAATGCTTTTAGTTCCATAATTTCAAAAGAAAAGGCTTATTCCATGAAACCTTAGTTTGATGTGTAATTGGCTTTGCTGCAAAGTATTGTAATTCACCAAATCTTAAACCAATATTTGTTTGTTCAACGTAAAAAAATCTGGAAAACATTATTTTCATTCATTTCCAGTCAATAAGCCATTACTTTAAATGTCAAAAGAAAAAATGCAGGCAAAGTTACCGATCATATCACTGAAGTATATTGATACTTATTATTTTTAAGGGAAATAGACGAGTGCTTCCTTTGTAACAATATATAACGATGATCCTCTTCGCCTTATTTCTTATTTTCTGGCATTTTCCGGACAAAGGTAATTGATTGAAACGTTGCTTTATGGCAATGAGTTTGATTTACTTAAATATCTCTAGGAGAGATAAGCTACCACTTCTATTTTACACTTGTGCATATGAAAATGAGAGTTTTAATTACATGTATGACTGTTTTAGCTGAGATGTCAATTTCCTGCTATTTCTGCCAAGGGCAACCAGCGTCTTTATGTTTACAGAAAAAAGTAACATGTGCGTCAGATCACGTAAGTATAGAATCGGCAACGTAATTCACTAGATAGTATGCAGTTCAAGTATATCATTGAGGGAGTCAGCAAGACTCCAGTTCCCCAAGAGCAAGTTTATTTCCACAGGCGAAGTCGATGGAAATACATGTAGGCTTGCTTGAGGGAAACTGGAATCTTGCTGACTTCCTCAGAGATATACTTCAACTGTTTCATTTTACCTATACAGAAAATTAGACCATTTAACTCGTAAAGTGTTGCATTTCTGTTTTTTACGCAATACAATTATAAGGTGTCCAATGGAAATATAGGTTACCCAGAATGTATACTAATGAAAGGCATTGCATTTGAATTAATGATCTATTAGGCCACGCCTTCTTATACTCGTATGTATCTGTAACTGAGCGGCTAATGAATATTAAGGATTTTATTTGGAACATGTCGGAACTTTTCATATGATTAAAAGAAATTGCGAGATGTTCCAAATATAGGTGAGTATCAGTTCATCAAACTTTTGTAGGAAGTCAGTCTTTTTTACGGTGATTTTCAGGGAATCAGCAAAATATACCGATTTACTCTTATTTAGTGAAAAATCAGTAGAGGTATAATAACATTGAGTATCGACTGTTGGGTTAATTTCGCAAGGACACAATTACAATATACTTTATTCTCATCATAACTGAAAATCAGAGTAGAAAAAATACATGTGTATATGGTGTACAAACGATATAATAAAAAAACAACAAAAAACATAAAATACCGAGGAAGGGATAACAGACTGTAACTAACCGAGAGAGCCAACTCTCTCAATTATATTACTTAACAATTTATAAATTTTACCAAGTTAATTCTTATTTGTTACATTGAAAAGCGTTTCAAATTTCAAAATATTTGTATTCGATTAATAATAACTCTTGAGTTCTTTATAGATACATCGGTGCATCCCCAATTTCATTGCAATTACATAATTTACACATGGTGCAATGGCAATGACGCAACGGCGCAATATTGCGATAACGATACTGCGATGGCGATAGTTTAAGACGATGGTGCGATAGCACGATGGAACAATATAGCGAGCATTGTGGCATCGTCATTGTACCATCACACCATAGCGTTATCGTCATCGTACCGTCGCTTCATAACACTACCACTCCACTGCACTCTCGTCATATCATCATCGCCCCAAAGGGTATTGTGCGTCATTGCACCATCGACCCTAACCTCGATAAAGTGAAGGTGCTATATAGTGAACTACGCCAAATCCGGATTCCATTTATAAAGGAGTTAAGAAATGGAATAAAGCTATAAATGCATAAGTAATGTAGACTAAACTATGTAAATACGTAAGTAAGGCTTTCTTCCATTGATTATACATTTCTTTGAAAATGATTTCCTATGTATGTTTCTCAGATGTGTTTTATGGAGTCGATAACTTCCAGTAGAAATGAGACTTTGTTTGTGGCGGGATGTCGAACTAGGAAAGTGAGTATTATCTAGGGAATGAAAGTAACCTTTAAATCCATGGAAAAAAGAAGGGTTTTATATTTGTAATTTCTTAAATGTGTAAATTGGAATCTGTACTATTACAATTTATTTATTATAACAATCAACTCAACTTGAAAAGTGTAGAATGTTAATGCAAGCTATGTCGATTCGTACAGTTGCAATTTGTTTGACGTACTTAACATTATCATTTATCGCCTGTCAAATTATGTAGGTTACATGTACTTACAATAAAAGATAAATTGTAAAAAAAAAAAGTACAATTTACAATCTCCAAATCAAAGGGAAAAAACAAAAACTAAATGAAAAAAAATTGGAAAAAAGTTTGGATTTCTTTTAACCCTTTGAATACATATTTGTAAATCAGGGAGTCGTAACATAAAGGGTACTTAAGTCTAAGATGCTTAATAAGGACTTTAAAAATACAATCTTAGTCTTAAGACCGTATAACTGGAAGCGTGGTAAGATTTGACAATCTTAGCAAAACTTAGGCGGCCGGTAGAGGTGACCTAAGTATGTATTAACTATCCCATGCACAAAATGTTGAATTTCGTCTTTAAAATTGGTCCTAAGAATGCGCCTATGTCATACTTATGACTCTACTTAAGTCAAAAACTTAGCAAGCTTTATGTTACGAGCCCCTGAGCAATACTTCTATAATAGTTTGTCATCAGTAGTTCGTCTTTCTTTTATGCTTTCATGCTTTTATGAAAGCACAGTTGATAAGCATAGAAAAGTGTGGTACATACTGCAGTACTAGTATGAAAAACGAAAAATGCTGATGATACAAGTTCCATCTTGTTAAAAGTTATGTTCATGGATGGTCTCCCCTGTCGGCAGACGATCAATCGTAGACCAATGTGCCCAATGCTGCGATGCTACGTCATCACCACTTTGTAATGGACGTCTATGTAAATTCAATGGTAAATCAAAATGACTCATTATTTAGATATGGCAGAATTGATATACATATTTAAATTCTAATTAATCAAGTAAGGAGAACTTCTTTCATCTTTTCTTTGATAAGAAAAAGGTAAATGCCGGGTGTGCTCTGGACTCCATTCTGATGCGCATACCTGTCCAATCTCAAAGTGTGCAGACAACGAGGTACATATAATTATGCCGTTTTTTTCTTTAAGGTTCATTGACCCTCTGATAAGAGAGATAACTCTCAGTGGAATTATTGTTCCTTCACATAATTGTCAAGTTTAATTGTCATTTCTGTCAAATTTGGCCCCACGATGTATGCTGAAATTGTAAATGGGAATTTTGAATTGATTATTAATTAAAATACTTTTTGAAAATTATTAGCTAAACTTAGCTAACAACCGTAAGACATATCATATCTATGAACTAATATTTTAATGAACACGATGCCTTTGACTTATTTTAGATGTGTTTTACTGGAACTAGATTTATAGGAGGAACCAAGTTAAGAGTGTTTGGCTGTGAAAGTACGCATGTAAGTTTATTCAAGGATTTTTATATAATTAACACGACACTTTTAACGTGTCTTATGATGGTTAATTCAGAGCTCCTTTAGACCTCTCTCCTGCTATGAATCTGAGTCAATGTTACCGACTTTTCGTTTATCCTGAATGAAAAGTATGACGGCCATCGGCATTATATCTATAATCTCTACACCACAACCACTATAAGGGTGAAAGGGGTTAATGTGTGATAGTGAATTTTATCGTTATCCTCCCTTGCAATACAGATGTGTGTAGCTCTGGCCAAAGCCATTGCTGCCGTTCCTCCTGGGCGACGTAACGTTGATGGCGACCATGGTCTACACACGTGTGATGCATGCTGCATCGGAAACGATTGTAACGTCAGAGAGTGCGAGGACCTTGCCACCGGTAGATAATTATTTTTGTTTAAGCTCAACACTTTATATCGGTACCTTTCTACAGCTTTTTGTCTATGCTTCAGTCTTTTCTTTTGATAAAAGATCTTTTTTTTTCAGAGATGCCTCTTTTACTAAATATGACTCAGGTTACTGGATAACAACTGTATACTTTAATGTTAATATACATTCATATACTTTCATTATATGGTAATAAAAAAATTAAAATCAGGATAATTTTATTGTCTATTTCATTTAATTCTATTTATATCCACAATATGCTTAGGAAATACCATTCATTTACCATTTTGATATGATGATGCCGAGTTTTTAAAATTAGTTAATCAAACAAATCAGAATATCGTAAGTGGAGATTGCGTTATAATAGATCTATGTGAGATTCATATAGTTGAACTTCCTGAAGACTGATATCTCAAATACCATAGATACGTCGAAGTCATCAAGAAATTACTTCTTCTCTTTGTATTTATCCTCAATATCTCGAACCCTTGGGGATCTGGGAGTTTTTTTTTTTCATTAAGTTCGAGATATCGAGGTTTGACTTTAAATACTACTGATGTATTGAGTCAAGCGTAAGCGTCCACTTTGGGTCGCAAACAATTCTTTGCACTAAGTATATCAGTAGTCTTAACACCGTAGAATTTTCATGGAAGAAAGACTTAGTTTACTTCATAACTTATATGATTCTTTGGAAAATGGATAACCCAGTTACACCCATACTATCAATTAGCTTTTTTTTTTTTTAGAGGAAGTGATTTCGGTTTACAACTTTGAAGGTCAAACTTATTGCAACACAGTTGATCGGACTATATATATATATATATATATATATATATATATATATATATATATATATATATATATATATATATAATTAAGAATCAATTCTTATTTAACAGAGCCAAAATTTAGGGAACCTGGTCTCTCAACTGGCTTCATAATTTCTTAAATAATATGAATTCTATGGAAGATTGTGCAAGGCGATGGACCAAACATGAAAAAGAAGATCTTGACACTTTGTCAGATTGGATTAAAAGTATCAGATGGATGTTGAGATTTCGCATTAAGGGATTTAGGGGCAATATGAAAACCATCTATCCTTCTGTCTTCAATAATTCAGAAGTGAAAAAAGAATTAGATAGATTACATGATCAACATGTACTTGTCCCTGCTGACAAAGCAGATAGCAACATTGTTTGTAAGTTCATTATTTTAACTGTATTTTAGAAAAACTGGGATTTAATTCTACAAGTGGTAATCCAACTTATATCCATAGCTCCCTTTCAAAGAAGGAAATTTTTCAAAATCATATATCAGTTTTCAATATTTTTTAATTTTCCCTACAATCAAAATGAATTGGAATTGCCATACCTATACTGGATACCCAAACTTCGTAAAAATCGTTACAAACTGAAACAAAATACATAAATACATCCAATAAATGTTCTACCAGGCCTCTTTCTTTACTCCTCACTAAAATATTAACAGCAGTGAAGGAGAAACTTTAGGGGTACTATACAACAATGTATTCGAGAAGTTGCGTAAATCAGATGCAGATAGAAACGACGTTAATGGTATCCTTAAAACAAAGCTTTGTGATAAACGTGATGACTTCAACTTTTCTATCGTCAACTTCCGTAACTTATGAAATAATATAATGTTAAATCGATAAGCAAGAACATGCTCCACGTACAAACAATTTCTAAAAAAAAGGCCAGCTATTGACAAACAAGTTGATGAAGCAAGGATATCAACAGTCTCATTTAAAGTCACCATTTCGCAAGTTCTATGGTCGATACAATGACCTTGTCAGCAAATACAATCTATATTTAAGTCGAATGCTGACTGACGTTTTTCATACTAATTGTTAGGCCATTTTTTACTCACTGAATTGTCTAAGGATTCTTCCGTTTGCCCGATCATGACAATGCACACACGGCAGGTGTGGCCGGTCGACAGGGGATGCTTACTCCTCCATGGCGCCTGATTCCACCTATGTCGGCGTTTGCTCTGCTCCCTATTTGTATTGTTTCAATGGACTTTTGAGCTTGATTGCTGTTCGTTATCTCCATATTTCATACATTATACGGAAAAGCCGTTTTGACAGAGAAAAGTTAAAGGTGTTGAGAGGAAAAAAATTGACAAATTAATTTTAAAACAAAATTGTTATATTTTTGCAAATATTTAAAAGGGTCAGATTTGAATTAAATTGAGAGAAAACAAATGCACATTTTAGTGTTCCATTTTGTATTCTTGCGCCGTAATAAGGTTTAGAGTGTGTTCAAAGGGGGTTAAATATTTCAGATTTCCAAAGAATTTAAACAAAGAAGAATATACATTGAATGTACATGTAAATATAAAAGATTGGGTAAATCAATATAGCAAGTACCTTAATTAGAGAAAATCAGTTTTATTGACTTTTTCCTAAACAAATCAATCAGGAGTTTGTTACATTGGCCAATTATTTTTTTTAAAATTTTTATTTATTTATTTATTTTTGATATTATATTTTTGAAATTTATGGTATATTTTTTGTACTTTAAGAAAGTAAATGTCAAAGGAAGTCGATTACAGACCCCTTTATATGTTTATCCCCGGTCCAACACACTTACACAGACAAACCGACAGAGAGAGAGAGAGAGAGGTAGGAAGCACCAGCCTTTTAACTCCACTGAAGAAAGAAGAGAAGGGTCTCAGTTACATTTACATCGCTTGATTTTGCTAAACCACTGTATCTAAATCAAATGCAAGTTATAATATCAGAAAATATAAGAACTCAAATGAACTGGTTATATATTGATGCATATGAAGTAGAAATGCTTTCCGTGCCATATCTGCAAGTTAAAGAAGAAGGTTTAATAAATCTTGTAGAAAAAGTAAGCTGCATAAGGCATTTCATAATCAGATTTTTTTCCACGTAATAAAATTTAATTTTTCAAATATGCGCATTGGTTTTAGATATAGTTATAGAATTATGAATTTCATATTTTATCTCAAAGATTTGATGTCAAATTGAATAGACTAAAAATATTTAGGATGACAGTTATTGTTCTCTTCAACAATTTTAAGAAGAGCTTTTATATTCTGAGAGGAGCCGACTGTTTGTGTGTCTGCGTGTGTAAACTCTACAATAGAAAAACTGTGCCAAAATTTACAAGACTTTCCTTTTTTTATGGAGTACTACAAAATATGAGAGATAATTATGGTTTACACAGAAAAAAAATAATAACTTCGAGATTTTCGTTTTTAATACCTTTTCTTTTATAACACTTTGACCCTCTCTTAAACAAAAGGCCCATTGGCCACAGAGCTCACCCAAATCACTTTAGTCCTGCTGTTTTTTTTTCTTCAGGAGAATGTTTTTTTTTTAATTTTCCTTTTTAATTTCTTAAAATTTTTGACTCCATATCTAGCTCTAAGGGAGCTATGATGTAATTAAAGTTGCCTATATTCCCTATATATTCCAATGTGAAAGTTCTATCGTCTATTGTGGCCCCACCCTACCTCTGGGTGTCATGATTTGAACAAATTTATATGAACACTACCTGAGAATTCTTATGAATTATTGTGACTATTCATGGCTTTCTGTTCTTGAGAAGAAAATATCTTAATATTTTTCACTGATCTGCAATCTTTGGAGACCATTTTACAAAAAAAAACAACAAACAAACTTGCAAGTAAGAGCAAAATGTAATTATGCAAATAGCTTTCTAGTAATTTTGCACGTAACTTTCGTTACTTTAATTTGAAAATGGTATTAATCAATTTTAAAAGAGTTTTCAAATATATAAATTTTTTTTTTATAATTTTATGCATTATTTTTAACAAAATAATTTTGCAAGATTTTACATTCAACTTCAGTTTTTGGTCTTAGATATAGTTTTTTTTTTTTTTTTTTTTTTTTTTTTTTTTTTTTTTTGTAAAACAAGGCCCAGGTCTTCCAATAATCTGTTGGAATTCTCATTGGTACTAAGAAATTCTCGGCGATACTTTTTTATGAAGAAAACTTTATTTAAAAACTTCTACTTTTCATGTCGAAGTCTTGCTCTGACTTTCATTAGATATATCAATTAATTAACAATACCCACTTTCATTCATAGGTAGATTAGATATATCCCACTACAGAGAGTCTATCAGAATATACGTGTACACTTTCTACAACTGTGTTTATGTATATTATCAATACGAAAATTAAAGTGTTTTTGGTTTTTTTTGTTTTTGTTTTTGTTTTTTTTTTTTTTATATATATACATTTTTAATCAGTTACTTTTTTTCTTATTTCTTTTCTTATTTCTTTCAGTGAAAATGATACTTTATCAAGAACATACATTTGAACTAAATCCAAAACATATTAATGTAATAAATTGTCACAAAGGAGACCATGGCAGAGATAAAGGATAGAGGTCAAAAAGGTTCCAGCTTTGATCCTCAGATTTACACAAGATTTATCGAAATTATTGCAATCTCTAATTCACAGATAAGGTTAGGATGAAATCATTGAAAATTTGAGGAAATGCCAATTTTGACTTATATTAACCTTCAGAGAGAATCTAGTGCAATTTAATGTGCACGAAACAGATGTTGTAAAAATGGATCATAATATTTTGTAGGATTTGTATTGTTTTTCTTTTAAGTTTAAAAACATTTCTAATTTTCATGAATATATTTTTTTCAATTCAGTATATAATATAATTGTTCTATATATTTTATAAATATTAATCTTATTTATTTAATTTTGATTTGATATATATAATTGTTCTATATATTTTATAAATATTAATCTCATTTATTTATTTAAATTTGATTTGATATATATAATTGTTCTATATATTCAATAATTATCAATCTTATCTATTCATTTAATTCTGATTTGATTATATTTTTGGTAACAACTCAGGGTCCTCGTGATCCTTTGTTTCACGGCGATACAATCCTCTCGGACTCGCTCCGTGGAAAATGCATTCAGTCCAGGTAAATACTCTCATAAAATGAATTTTCTCCAATTTTATTTTGCGTACTGCAGTAATTCAATTCATGAGATTTGGCGATCTGTTAGTATCGTTCGTTACAATTGTAATAATTACTGTACAAGAGAAAGGCTTTAAAGCTAATCTAACCAGTATTTTATTTACGAATTGTC